AATATAACCACTATTTGCTTATCTCGGCACTGTTATGAAACTTGTATGATTTATATTAATGTTAGTTAGTCATGTACATCAGTGGGATCTTTGGTGCACTTTAGCTGATACTTAAAATTCTAGGCAGAAATTCAAAATAGTTTATACATACCTTTTTATGAAAAAAAAAATGAGTCGGTGAGGGGCCTGTCTGTAAGGTCACGTACATTCTTCCATTGACTTGTATTGTATTATTATAATTTGTACTAATTTAGTGTACAAGTTATCAGTATTTGTGAACCTCTAACATAATTGAATAACTTTGGTTTAGCTTATCGCAGTCATATTAAAATAATTTTGAATAAGTACATGCTTTAGTGTCATACATAAAACTGATACAATTTTAAAAAGGACACTTCAAGATATATATTGAGAATTGGAAAAAACATGGAAGTTGGAAGTTATAAGCTTACATAAAGTTGACAAATAGTGATGATATCGATGTCAAAAATATATTGGTAAATCACGAACTCGTTTACATAGAAAATTAATACCAGAACTAATTACCAAACTAATTAGTTATGGGTATGGGTATTGATATTTTACAGAAGTAATTATTGAATGATATGATATGCTAATTAAAAAAAGCCGTGCATGCTGGTCATTCATTTGCTGAAAGAGTAATCATTTGATTCCTTCATATTTTACAAACTCGGTCGTGTGACAAAAACTTAAGTGTATAAAAAAGTTGTCCGTTTTTGCTTTTTTATTTTATTCGTGACTTTGTCACTTATAAATTGGTTTATTCAATACTTTATGAACCTAATAAGTTTTACAATGTATATATGTATAAAACGCATCATTTCAATAAATACACATGATATTGTTAATGCAGATAGAATAAGGATAAAAAAAACACAGTATATAAATATGAACAAATACAACAAACTATATTTTTAACAAATCACAAAAAAAAAAAAATTTTCAACGTATTTTTTTCCAATAAAACGCACTTCAGTTACAATAGAAACATTTAACATTCTAATAATTCTCACGTTGATGGCTTGATAAGCCTAAATGTCTCTTTTTAATTCTAAATACGATGAACATATTAAAATAAAATGCATTTCGTCCTCTACTTTATCAGTACAAATTTTACATATTCTATAACCTTTGCATTGGTCACCTGATTTCATCTCACAGTCACATGAGCAAGTTATTAATGTAAATGTATAGTATATCTGACTTTTTGGTTCCCTGATTTCATCGTTCTGGGTGTGTGTAGTTCAACTTACTAAACTGTTCATTAAACTGAGATATGTTTTTATTTTAAACAATTGTAACTTGATTCTAATATATATAAATTGTTAGGACTGTAGACAGGGGTTTCGAGGGGTTCGTACACACCCCTTTGAAAACAAATAAACATTATCAATGTCGACTTTCTGTGAGATTTTGTTTGTCACGAGTCGGTGTCTGTTCACGTATAATATTGAATAATTAAACATATTTCAATAATTCAGCACATATATATAGATCTAAATATTATTCAGCAGTACACCAATAACTGTTGAAGGCAATTTTGAGACGTTATTACAAACTTAACAAGTGCTTAACTGCACCGAATGACATCCTAAATCAAAATAAATTTATTGGTATCTGAAAGACAATACATAACCTTTTACTTAAGAACGTCCTTATTTTCATTTTTTGTTTAAAAACTTTAAAATTTAAATAGAAAAAAAAGAAAATAGTCAAACGTTGGAAAATACGACACAATATGTTAAAAACCTTACACAAATGTAACTGCAATACAGTTTTTTAAGGATGTTTGCTACTCTGTTTCAAAATAACAAGCTTTTTAAAAGACTATTCTAAAATGATAGTATTTAAATAAAGGAACTAAAAAAGCAGAAAAAAATTAAGGGTCCGTGAGCTTGTTTTCGAGTTATAAGCCATTGAAAATTTGGCGGGAAACGATTCTCTCTAGACTTTTCGTTCTTTAAACGTTGGTCGCTTTTTTGTTTCAAAAACTATGAAAAAATAACAAGGATTTTATAAGACTTTCAAATACGGCTTTTTAAACTATATTTAATAAAATTATGAAAAAAAAAGTAGGGGTTAGTGGGCAAATTTTTTTAATGGCAATACATGGATAAAACAAGAGGATTCCGAAAATCTGGCAAAAATTCAAAAACAAGAGGAGCAAACATCCTTAAATGCCCTGGATTGAACCAAATTCAGGAAAAAAACTACCTATTTTCACAAAGTCTATAACACATAGATAGATTGTAGGAAAGTATAAGGAATTGACCAACCTCATTATCCTAATTACTTTATCAAATCGCTGTTTGTAAAATTCTTGTGACACATGCATATATCACCCTCTCACAGCTTTTAATATTGCAGCCGATTAGGTTGATTAACGATTACAATATAAAAATAAGGTATACAAGTATACTGCCTAACTTGAATGAGACAATTATTAACAAGGAGACGTGGATGTAAGCAACTATGTTAGCCATGGATTCAGGCTCACTGCTCGACACGAAGAGGAGGAGGTTTGGCTAGGATGCAAGGCTATTTTGTTGTGTACAACATGTGAAAATGTACATGCGACCACAGCCAGTTTTCACAAATTTAGCAACATTTTCCCATATGCGGTGTTTTTGCTTGAAAATGTGTTTTTTTTTTCAGAAAATTTTCATTTTTTTTGTATATGTAATACTCCTGGACCAGTGATACTGCGTCAATTTTTTTTCAGTCACTGTTTAAAAGTAATATAGAAATTTGATTTCGAAAGAAATTAATGGGGTGATGAGTTTCTTTAGTTATTTTAATCAAAATATGAGAATAATAATAGATAAACAATGTTATGGCGTGGTCAGTTGTTATGTTTTATTTTATTTATGACTGAGATTTCTAAGTAATGCTGATATTACTATAACACATTGAGGTGTTTAAAGCCATATATTTTTTCTTTTAAGTGAAAATAGTGATTGTCAAAGTATACCTCTGAGTTAATTAACTGGCTTTGGTATTCAAAGTGCTGCATGCATTTCAAAATTTATGTTTTTATCAAATTCTTAATAAACTGAATTAACACCAATTTAATCAGTTTTTAGATCCACTGTATAATGCCCCTAAGGGACTGGTGAGTTGTAACCTGAAAGGGGGTGAGAGGAAATTAAGGGGGCCTTGAAATTTTTTGGGAATGGGAAGGGTGGTATCCAATTTTCCAATACTTCTAATGAGAGGTATCGAAAAAATTTCACCAGATTTCAGCATGCAAAAATTATAGTTAATTTGATGAATACTTTAAATCAGTATATATTATTATTCAGCAGAAGTGTCTAACACTTGATTCAGATGTCATATCTATACCTCTTGTGTCATCATTTTTGGATTCAAACTTTATTTCAATATGTTTTGTTCATGCGAGTCATGACCATCTTCAGTCTGTTTGTTGGACATGCATAATGACAATAATAGGGAATAATAAATGTTTTTGATTTATCATGTTTTCTATAAGGTTTTCTTAATATTATACCCTTTCCATCTGAGACTACTATACTGTGTTATAGTAGTTTCAGTTTCCATATTAATAGTAATAAAACACTAATAATATTAACAGTTGTTTCTTTCCATGATTAATCGTAAAAAATCGTGATTGATCATATATTTCAATAGTTCAAGATGATATCATGGAGTCAAGTGTGAAATTTTTAATATGTCTTTACGTGAATAACTTTCCAGGACCTGGAGATGTGGAGTCAGGCGACCCACACCCAACGTTTCCCCTTACAATAAGAAAATAAAAAATTTTGGCTAGAAAACTTCACATTTGTTCGCCTCGCCGCTTTGCTCAGTGCAATTATTAAGATAAAAATCCTAAGTTTCAACTATCTCTTCCAGGAAAGTATTTTTATCTAGACTAATTTACTAACTTCTTTAATAAAGGATAGGAACAATTATATGCTGAAATTGAACGAAGGTGTGGTAAATGTCAATGAAACCATAACAGACATATCTAGATAAATTTCCCTGTCAAGTCAAGAACTTTCCAACTTGAAGCTTTCCATTACTGATGCACTATTTTATTAAATAATAATATCATAAATAGAAATTGTATGCATTTGTTTTTGTAAATAATACAAATATTGAAAAGTGAGGGGGGGGGGTGAAATTTTTACGTCTTTCGGGGTATTGAATTTATTTTTCTTCTTCAAGGTGGAGACTTCGGATGTTTCGTCACCCCCCCCCCCCCCCCCCCCATAATTTCAAATCAGTCCAAATATCTATTTTTCTAGGCAATTTTTTTTTATATGACATAAAATAACTACCTACTGACGAAACTGAAAATTGGGTGCGAGTAGACAACGAGTTGATAAAAGTACGAGTTAGTAAAAATCGGGTACGCCGAGTGGCTACGTACGAGTTGACAAAGGTACGAGTTTTACATGGATCCCGCCTGGGATTACTATAACCTGAGACTACTATAACGCATAGTAGTCTCAGATCCCGCTGATAGTAATCTCATGTCGAGGACACTTTTTGGTTAATCTTCATACATGTACTATTACTGTTATAAATCATAACGATATACACCTTATCGCTATTCCCGCTTGACCCGATAATCTGTCCCGCTTGAATTTTTGACGTCATATAACAATCACTTTTCCATTGTGGCGTCAGATATTTTCTATTATGACGTCAAAATTTTACGGGAACTTTTGTGATGTCACGTAATGGCGAACAAATAGCGATAAGGTGTATTGTATCGTCTGTATTTGTAACTTGATTGATATGCTTAGAATGAACAGTATCATATTAGGAAAATGAAATATGTGCATAAGTAGTTCATGTTGCTTTGAGCTTTTTAACGATGATCATTGGTTGTTTCTTTGATGATATGAGTATTTGTAGTTTATGTTGCTGTTAACTTTTTAACTGTTGATAGTTATTTCTTTGATGATTCGCTGAATTAACAATCTCAATGGGGATATACTACTGAGTTATCTCCACTTGCTTGTTGACAGTGGAAGTGGAATACGGAAAAAAAAATAATTATCAGTGTTCAGCCGAATAAGCTAGTAAGATTTGTCAAAAATCGAAATTATTTTACCACTTTAACACACAGTAGTAATGCATTAGCATAATCTGTTAAGCATATATTATTTTTGAAAGGCTAGTTAGATCAGAGCACAGGGGCTCGTATCAGATAGATGTTTTTGGGGCGGAAATATATGCCATTTGACTTGTATTCGTTCCACATCTATTCACTACATTTCTACACTATGATTTACCTGAGACATAATATATTTAGAAGCCAAGCTGCGAAAAAAATTTCCTTTGATATCTTACAATTCATAAAATGATATATCTAATGTTGTTACCTGCAAATTTCCTTATGAAATCGGGTCCATGGGTCCCTAATTGAAAATCCTCAGGGCAATTAGCATGATTAGTCTTGGAAGTAACAATAATTATTTCTTATTGTTACTTTTTGCAGGTAATCATAGCCAGTGCCTTGTTTTTGCTCTTTCCAAGTAGACTTGTTTATTCATGAATTATAGTTATCTCGTACCATTGTAAACTCGTACCAATGTCAACTCGTACCACTAAAAAAGAACTCGTACCAATGCAAACTCGTACCACGGTAAATTCATACCATTGTAAACTCGTACCAACTTATTTAAATGCATGCAAATGGTGTTTAATGATGAATATATACTTTAATTTCACTCGATACCTCTTAAGTCTGTAAAATGTATATAATTTGAAATTACAATGACCAATTTGTAGCTACCTATATTTCCGCACTTTCTGTGTTGCCATTTAGAACATACATCACACTCTATTGCTTCTTGTCGGGGTCTAACCAGAGAGTGGCACCATATACAATTGTCGTCTTCCATTGTGGTTATGAGAAACCTCACAAACATGCCCCATTTTATGAGGAAAGTGAGCTTTGAGACAACTCATGTCAGCTTATGTTTTGATAATCAGGAATTTCATATAATAATAAACATTATACATTTAATTCCAAGCTGTTAAATTATATAACAACAATCAAAATTTAATAATATGATTAAACAAGTTGATTTTTGTCTAAGTTTTCATTAAAATCTGGTATAAAATTCAAAGATATTTTAATTTTTTGTATAAAGCTTTAAAAAAAATAATCATAAAATAAAATCTAGTATAAAATTCAAGTAATTCAACTTTTTTTATTAAGTTTACCAAAAAAAAAAATCATAAAACATTCGTATTTTTGAATATATTTTTAATGGTACGAGTTTGCAGTGGTACGAGTTCTGATTTGTACGACTTCCCAGTGGTACGAGTTCACGTTGGTACAAGTTAACTTTTTTGGTACGAGTTTACGTGGTACGAGTTTACAATGGTACGAGTTAACTTGCTTCCTTTATTCATAAAAAATGTTATTTTTATTATTATAATACTCATGATATTAATCCACAGACAATTAATACAACAGTCAGTGAGATCAAAGACATAAATATCTGAATAAGTTTATAAAATCTTAATACAATTAATATTGATATTTTTTTTTTATAAAAGAAGGGCAAACAGACTCTATGGGCAAACGAACCCAGGGCAAACATGTAGTTAGAGCAAATGGACCCAATACCCACTTTTCTGTTTACCACATTACCTTATGATATATCTACTTGTGAAGTTAAAGAAGTACAGCCTGGAAGGCCTTAAGGGAGCTACCATTTGATTTTTATGGGGAGGGGCTAGGATGAAAAATTTTTTCCTGCATTTTTAGCTCACCTGACCTGAAAGGTCAAGTGAGCTTTTCTCATCACTTTGCGTCCGTCGTCCGTCGTCCTGCGTCCGTCGTCCGTAAACTTTTACAAAAATCTTCTCCTCTGAAACTACTGGGCCAAATTTAACCAAACTTGGCCACAATCATCATTGGGGTATCTAGTTTTAAAAATGTGTGGCGTGACCTGGTCAACCAACCAAGATGGCCGCCACGGCTAAAAATAGAACATAGGGGTAAAATGCAGTTTTTAGCTTATAACTCAAAAACCAAAGCATTAAGAGCAAATCTGACATGGGGTAAAATTGTTCATCAGGTCAAGATCTATCTGCCCTGAAATTTTCAGATGAATCGGACAACCCGTTATTGGGTTGCTGCCCCTGAATTGGTAATTTTAAGGAAATTTTGCTGTTTTTGGTTATTATCTTGAATATTATTATAGATAGAGATAAACTGTAAACAGCAATAATGTTCAGCAAAGTAAGATTAACAAATAAGTCAACATGACTGAAATGGTCAGTTGACCCCTTTAGGAGTTATTGCCCTTTATAGTCAATTTTTAACCATTTTTCGTAAATCTTAGTTATCTTTTACAAAAATCTTCTCCTCTGAAACAACTGGGCCAAACTAAACTGAACTTGGCCACAATCATCATTGGGGTATCTAGTTTAAAAAATGTGTGGCGTGACCCGGCCAACCAACCAAGATGGAGGCCACAGCTAAAAATAAAACATAGGGGTAAAATGCAGTTTTTGGCTTATAACTCAAAAACCAAAGCATTTAGAGCAAATCTGACATGAAGTAAAATTGTTTATCAGGTCAAGATCTATCTGCCCTGAAATTTTCAGATGAATCGAACAACCTGTTGTTGGGTTGCTGCCCCTGAATTGGTAATTTTAAGGAAATTTTGCTGTTTTTGGTTATTATCTTGAATATTATTATAGATAGAGATAAACTGTAAACAGCAATAATGTTCAGCAAAGTAAGATTAACAAATAAGTCAACATGACTGAAATGGTCAGTTGACCCCTTTAGGAGTTATTGCCCTTTATAGTCAATTTTTAACAATTTTTCGTAAATCTTAGTAATCTTTTACAAAAATCTTCTCCTCTGAAACTACGTGGCCAAATTAAACCAAACTTGGCCACAATCATCATTTGGTTATCTAGTTTTAAAAATGTGTGGCGTGACCTGGTCAACCAACCAAGGTGGCCGCCACGGCTAAAAATAGAACATAGGGGTAAAATTCAGTTTTTGGCTTTTAACTCAAAAACCAAAGCATTTAAAGCAAATCTGACATGAAGTAAAATTGTTTATCAGGTCAAGATCTATCTGCCCTGAAATTTTCAGATGAATCGGACAACCCGTTGTTGGGTTGCTGCCTTTGAATTGGTAATTTTAAGGTAATTTTGCTGTTTTTGGTTATTATCTTGAATATTATTATAGATAGAGATAAACTGTAAAAAACAATAAATGTCGGCAAAGTAAGATCTACAAATAAGTTAACATGACCGAAATTGTCAGTTGACCCCTTTAGGAGTTATTGCCCTTTATAGTCAATTTTTAACCATTTTTTCGTAAATCTTAGTTATCTTTTACAAAAATCTTCTCCTCTGAAACTACTGGGCCAAGTTAATTATAGATAGAGATAATTGTAAGCAGGATAAATGTTCAGTAAATTAAGATGTACAAACACATCACCATCACTAAAACACAATTTTGTCATGAATCCATCTACGTCCTTTATTTAATATTCACATAGACCAAGGTGAGCGACACAGGCTCTTTAGAGCCTCTAGTTTTTTAGTTGTAATCTCTGTCCTGCCTTTTTATTTTTCACTCTATTCGGTCCTGCCTTTTTTTTTAAAAGTTTATCCTGACTTGTTTTACCTAAATTGTCATTCTGACTTTTTTTTTTTGCAAGTGTCTCATCCTACCTTTTTTGGTCGAGCCTTCGACTTTTGTCGAAAAAGCGAGACATAGCGATCCTACATTCCGTCGTCGGCGGCGGCGTCCACAAGTATTCACTCTGTGGTTAAAGTTTTTGAAATTTTAATAACTTTCTTAAACTATCCTGCATTTGAACCAAACTTGGACAGAAGCTTGTTTATGATCATAAGATAATATTCAAAAGTAAATTTTTATAAAAAAAATTCCATTTTTTCCGTATTTTACTTATAAATGGACTTAGTTTTTCTGCCAGGAAACATTACATTCACTCTGTGGTTAAAGTTTTTGAAATTTTGATAACTTTCTTAAACTATCCTGGATTTCTACCAAACTTGGAAAGAAGCTTGTTTATGATCATAAGAAAGTATCCAGAAGTAAATTTTGTAAAAAAAAAATTCCCATTTTTTCCGTATTTTACTTATAAATTGACCTAGTTTTTCTGCCAGTTAACATTACATTCACTCTGTGGTTAAAGTTTTAAAATTTTAACAACTTTCTTAAACTATCCTGGATTTGTACCAAACTTGGACAGAAGCTTGTTTATGATTAAAAAGCTAGTATCTAGAAGGAAATTTTGTTAAAATTTTGTTCCATTTTTTCCGTATTTTACTTATAAATGGACTTAGTTTTTCTTTCAGTTAACATTACATACAATGTACAGTCTGCAGTTTAAGTTTTTAAAACATTTATTAGATTCATAAACTATCCTGGATTTTTACCAAACTTGGACAGAAGCTACTTACAATCAAAAGATAGTATAGAGAGGAATATTTTTATTAATTTTTTTCCTCATTTTTGTTGAGCCTGCGATTAACAGCAAAAGTAGGTGAGACACTGGGTTCCGTGGAACCCTTACAAATTTTTTTAATCAAAACTCCTGTCCTGCCTATTTTTTTCAAATTCCATCCTAGCCCCCCCCATAAAAATCAAATGGTAGCTCCCTAATTTGACCTGTACATTGAATTTTGTATTATCACATATCACATCCAAAAACTAATAATATTGGCAAGCCAATAAAAGTTAATCAGAAAATTAAAATTATTATGATCTCAGATTCTATGTTGTAATGTTAGTTTTGAAATACCCTCACCATGCTAACTGTCAATTTCTAAGATTTAAGTCAAGATATGAAGCAAACCTAACTGTTGCAGTCAACTACTTCATAATTTTAGCTCACCTGGCCCTATTTATTACTTATTACTTGTCATCTGTTATCGTTGTTAACTTTTACAAAAATCTTCTCCTCTGAAACTACAGGGCCAAATTTTATCAAACTTGGCCACAATCATCATTAGGGTATCTAGTTTAAAAAGTGTGTCCGATGACCCCATCTGCCCACCATAATGGCAGGCATGGCTATAATTTGAACACAGAGATAAAATGCAAGTTTTATTTACTATCTTGAAAAGCTCTATAAAAAGAGAAAATCTGACAGGGGCAGAAATGTTCACAAGAATGAGCTCAACTTATTGTCAGTTTACATTAAAACTGTTAGATGACTTTTTATAGGAGTTATTCCCCTTACATGACGAATTTTACGATTTTTGATTCAGCCATGCTGGATCTATGTGATCACTCTGGATTTGGAGATGGTGCAGAATTCTTAGTTGAAGAAATGAAAATTATTATGTGTTTCTATGAATTGCAGAAACTTTATGCACCACTTTAATCATCAACTGCCAACTTTTTATATGTTATTTGTCCTTAAATTAAGAAAAGGTTTGGCGAACAATTAACTTCTTTATTTTAGATAAACACTTGCATATAGTTCCTATGTAAATCAAATTTTTTTTAAATTGCCATTCATTAATTAATGTGAAAAAGGGATTTATCAAATTCAAGCAGTTGATCAGAATTATGAAAGTGTTTTATCAGTATCTTATGTTCGTGTAAGCCACTGAAGAAAATTTAGTTCAAGATGTGTATTGATATCAAGAGTTGATTCCCACACTTTTTTGAAATTTATGTTATTATTCCCATTTTTCATTAGTTAAATAAGAGTATTGGTTATCACAAACAATTACACTCAAAGGTGAAAGTTTTTATTGGAATCAATTCCATTCTAATGCAGTCTTAAATGACCCGACTCAATATATCATGACAGTTGATAATCATACTGGTATTGAGGCCAAGAGTTTGTGTATTCAATTTGTTACACATCTCACTGAATACACAAAATGTTGACCTGAATAGTGTACCTATTATTTATTTTGATCAACACTACATAATTATTCTGTTAATTTTGTGTGAAAGCTGACTGATTAATAAGATTTGTTTTTTTCAAAGAAAAGACTAAAAATAAAATATGTATAAAAAATGCAACCAAATCTTATTTCACTAGTAAAATCAGTGTCATAATCATCTGACATAAGTTAAACTCAGGTCTTTTTAAGTTACAATTATCAGTAATTTGGTTGAAACAATAAACACAATTGCATAACTCTTACCTGAGCATTTTCTGTAATAAAATTTATTTGTGTATTCCCCATTATAGAAATAATAGAGATATTCTTGCATATCTCAGCTTGAATAAGGTCAATACCTGCACTTTTACAATTTTTTGCATTCATTACAACTTTATGAACCTCATCAATGGTATTTTCTTTTTCTAAATCAATACAAATAATGTTTTCTTTAATATTACAATTTTCAACCTTATTACACTCTGCATTTACATTTGGGTTCAATAAACTCTGAAAACTGCTTTTCCATTTACTTAAAATAGTTTCTAAATTGTTAGTTATAGTTCAATCATCTAAAGTAATTTTATTCGGAATACACATGTGTCTCTTGTTACCTTTACCAATTTGACCAATTCTATGCCAAAATTGATTTGGATCATTGTCACTAAAATTAACCAGCTCTTCCTGGCAGCGGTACCAATATTTTTGTGTAAGCTTGTCAAAGTCTTTGCGTTTATCAACAAAGTGTTTGCATAATTGTTGTTTTAAGCTATCCTGTTTACAAGATACATATATAGTCTCTTTCTGCCGTGCAAACATTGTTCCATTTATTTGTTAGTTTGTCATTCCACAGTGATTCAACCATGGTATTAATTCGTCTTTTTCGATTGTTTGTACTCTTCAGAACTTTGACCTTATATTCTAATTTATCATTAATTTCAGAGTGTAAAATTTCAACAAAGTTATCATATAATTTATCAACTTCAAATTGTGTGCCTTTAGAACACTGTATATTATTTATACACATATTAATTTTATTCAATATATCATTATTTGCCATTCAATCATTTGGGATATTTTTCACCTGTTATCAGATTACAAAGCATGTGGTAAATATCTATCACACAATTATAATTGGAGTGACAGATTTATTTGAGAATTTTCTGTTTCCTAAGTGTTGATGATGATAAGCTCTGTAGAATTGTATAAATATATTATAGTATTTACTGTTTATATTAGACATTTTGAAGATAATTACAGATAAGTTTTATAGATAATTACAGATAAGTTTTATAGATTTTTAAAAGACATAATATTAATGTCAATGATAAATGCCATTTTGGATTTTTTTTTTCTTCTTTTGTTTGGTGAATTGTTTGAAAAATTTTGTGGTAGGTTTGTTTGTTATTCTGTATAAACTAATTTTCTGAATGCTATATATTTTTTTTTTGATGAAGCAAACTCCTTTAAAAACTAAGCTTATATTGTTTATTAATAAACATATATTTAGATTTCTGATTTTGGGCCCAGTTTTCAAGTTGGTCCAAATCGGGGTCCAAAATTAAATTGTGTTTGATTTCAACATAAATTGAATATATATAAGGTTCTTTGAAATGCTGAATCTAAACCTGTATTTATTTTCATTATTAATTAGATAATACCACATTGAGGTTCAAAGGGTCCTAAATTAAACTTTTGTTTGATTTCATCAAAAAATGAATTCCTGGGGTTCTTTGATATGCTGATTCTAACAATGTACAAGTTTAGATTTTGGATATTGGACCATAATAGGAAAATGTCCGATTTCAAATTTTTCAGTTCTTTGACCACATTCATTTTGTGTCACAAACCTATGCTGTGTCAAATATTCAATCACAATCCAAATTCAGAGCTGTTTTAAGCTTAAATGTTGTGTCCATACTTGCTCAACTGTTCAGGGTTCGACCTCTGCAGTAAAAATCCAGTTTGCTGTCACTCTGACAGCCTCTTGTTTTACCCTTTTTGTGTTTTGGGAAAAACTAAAGAAGCTAGAGAGAAACTGAAAACATGATCAGCAATACAAGATCAACAAAAAAGAGATGTTTGTCATGAATTCTATTCTAGTCCACAATGTTGGAGAGTGTCCATAGTCCTTGGTGAGCGACACAGGCTCTTCAAAGCCTCTAGTTTTACCAGCATTTTCACATTAGATTGGAACTTCCTACTTTTCAAAAGGTTATTTTTGTAGAAGTAAATGCATTGCTTACATCCACTAAATTTGAACTTTAGTGGATAGTTGTCTCATTTTCAATCATTCCACATTTCTTAATTCTTATATACATGTACATTTTATGTATGCATGTTTTTACAGAAAACTACTAGTGTAAACCTAGTGTAGGATGGGAAGATCTGGACCACCATTAGTCACTGGGGTAGCACCTAAAGAAGGACCCCCTGGCACCCGCATTACCATTCGTGGAGAAAATCTGGGCTATGACCAAAAGGATTTGATTGGTATGTATTTGAAATTTTAGTCATCATATAATGTGAAAATCACTAAAGACAAATGTTGTATATTGTTGTACATGTGGCATTTAATCAATTTTTACATGTGCTGAGTAGCCACTACCTGTTTGCTGATAGTTTTAAATTTTACAACACTTTTGTACAAGGAAATTGCATAGAAGGCCATAAAAGCCTTAAAGGCAATGACATGACAAAATGTAAAAACAACTCAAATGAGAAAACAACATTTTTAATTCTTCCAATTCTTTATTTCCAGGAGTGAAGATATGTGGAGTGGACTGTTTATTGTCAGCTGATTGGAAATCTCCCAGTAAGATCATTGCAAGGTCTGGTCCTGGGAAAGGTAAAGGAGAGATCATAGTAGTTACCAAGTCAGGTGGACAGGGAACCTGTACAGTAGGATTCAAAGGCTATTATGTACAAATAGGTAAGGAATAAGGTTAAGTTCAGAATATTATTTATCATACACCAACAAAGCCAATTTAACAGGTGATCAGGAGGACGTAGAGAGTAAATTATTTAATAAATATTTTTCTTATGACACTTATGGCAATGTGACTTTTTTGGACTTGGTGGTCATCACAAGGAAGTATATATAGACTGAAGTGAAGCTGAGATCCACATACTTTTGGGAGGCTAACCAAACTATCTATAAACTGTTGTTAAGCCCAGAGTGACATACATAAATTGATTTGTTATATCTAACGATTCAAATGTCCTAATTTTACACTGTTCACAAATGATTTTTCAATATAAAAACGAGGAGATGTGGTTAGTGGTATGATTGCCAATGAGACAACTATCCACCAAAATTCAAATGAAGTGGATGTAAGCAATAATAGGCACCGAACAGCTTCAAAATGAGAATTGCAGTATTTGTATTTTTTTTGTTTCAGTGTTATATTCAAAATGCACAAAAATAATTTAAAAATTTTAATACAATATTTCCTATGCTGAAACGCACTGCGAGTCACCTTCATATAAAGAATGATGATGGTTTTTATGTGACTGTCAAAATTTTGACAGGACGTATTATGGTATATAAATGTTCGGCGTCCATCTGTCTGTCTGTCCGTCTGTCTGGCATCCACATGTTGCACCGTAACTTGAGAATGACTTATCCAAATTTCATGAAACTTAATATAGTTGTTTCTTATGATGGTTAAACAATCTGTATACTTTTTTGTGAAAATAAGATTGAAAATTTTTGAGTTACAGGACTTTGTAACTAAAACAGGGGGGGTTGGGGGTTGGGGGGGGGGGGGGGGGGGTTCACATGTCGCATCATATCTCAAAAACGATTTATGATTATTGCTTAAAACTTTACACACTTCTTAGTTATATTAATCTAAAGATCTGTATACTTTTTGGTGATGATTCAAAATTTTATTTTAGAGTTATTGAGTTTTTTGTAAAAAAAGGGGGGGGTTCACATGTCGCACCATATCTCAAAAATGATTTATGATTATTGCTTAAAACTTTACACACGTCTTAATTATATTAATCTAAAGATCTGTATACTTTTTTGGTGATGATTCAAAATTTTATTTTAGAGTTATTGATTTTTTTATAAAAAAGGGGGGTTTTCACCAGACATGGGGTCAATTACTTTTGAAAGTAATTAATAACATTCAATTACAATTACAAAATCTTCAATTAAATTACACATTACATTTGACTTTTTTTGACAATGTAATTAATTACTTTCCAATTACTTGGCAAATGTAATTAATTACTTCAATTACTTTTGAATGGAAAATTTAGAACATGCATTTATTCTATCATAGGTACATAATTATCATACATTTCTTTATAGTAATAACAAATGAGATCTACAGTGATTATTTTCAAATTCAGCCAATATCAAAGAAGAGTAAAAGTTAAATATCTTGTGTGTTACGGGAATAAAGAAAAACCAAACATAAATCTGAAGTGCACATAATACTTTGTCTATCAGGAATCGTTAGGACTAGATATCTGGTTTAATTTAATGCGCAAAACGATAAAAAGCCTTATTCAATATTTGGAAAATATTAAATTTTGTTTAATTAGCTATTGAAATTTTATGTTTTAATGTATTTCATTGAAAATGATACAAAAAGAGAGCCCTAAAATTTTAATTTTTTAATTTGATCACAACTTATTAAAAACTTTTCACATGTCGCGCCGTATCTCAGAAATGATTTATGCTTATTGAATAAAACCTCACACACAAGAAGACGGGCGTATCATGCACTCGTGGCGCAGCTGTTTATTAGATATTTATAAATGTATCTTTAATATTAGTATCAGAACAGAATTAATTGCATATTTTGCTGGTTCAATTTAATGGCACTCTCTTTTTCTTTTTTTTTTACAATTTGATGACAAAATGGGAAGGTTAAATTGTCACTGTGTATAATTTTCGCTGAATGGGAAAATAGACACAAAAAATCACTGTATTGTATTGCTAAAGATATAAACAACATGAAATTGATTGAATGACAGATAATCAATTACAAATAAATAGAGAACTACAAAGTGAAATAAACATAATTAGGAGAACTTTCAAGGGAAGTAAATTATGTAAATTGTAGCTTGCTAAAAATTGAGAGTTATGATAACTTTTGTGATGGCATAACAGAGCATTTTTGAAGCATATTTGTGCAAATAAATATGTGAAAATGTGATTTTTATTTTATTTTATTTTTACATTATAGACAAAATGTTCATGTTATGACAACAATCAATAGATCGTAGCTAATATGTCACTGATTGCTGTGTTGTCAAAATGTATGACATGTATGATTAGCCAATATAATTATAATATGAAACAGAGAAGTTAATTAATATGCCCATTCTTGTGATCTGTTGATCAACACAAAAGACTGATTTTATATATAATGTTATTTATGGTGAAAAGAGTTTACATATCAATTCCATGTATACTCGAAAATTAACATTATAATGTTTAATATGTTTAAACAACGATAAATCTTGGAATATGCAGGGAAATTTACGATTGGTCAAGTTTTCGCTTTTCTTTATTTGCCATGAACAAAGTTAAAATTAAACACACGTGAAAAAAACCTGATATACGATATGATCATGATGATACTTGCAAAAAATTATATTTACTGTTCCAATTGAATGTTTTCTCAAAATCCTCACAATAAAGATTGCTGTCAACAAATATAAAATGCATCCTAATATAAATTTGCTTTCAGGCCCATTACAGGAATCTGCTATATGGATAGATGAGTCGCAGAGTGTTTCTTCCAATTTACGACATGGTCGGCCATCTTCTCCTTTATTTTCTAAGGATGATGAGGATCCATTGGGGATTTCTGATGAAGGAAATCAGTAAGTAATCTAAATTGAGATACAAGTGAATGATTGTATGTAAAGCACAATTTAATGGCAAACTCTATTCCTCCTCCAAGGTATTTATAGTTTTAGACTTATTAGTACAGATATGAGTAAAAGGAGATTTTGAGGCTATGTCAATAAGACAGTAACCCAACGACAAACATAACCATATAACCTCTAGAGGCCAAAAAACAGTCCTGTTACTCTTTTCACAAAAAATCTTATGATGAAAATAGATCGTAAATTAAACTAAAATGTTCATGTCTTACATATATTTTTATGCCCCATCTACGATAGTAGAGAGGCATTATGTTTTTCGGTCTGTGTGTCAGTTTGTCCGTCTGTCCCGCTTCAGGTTAAAGTTTTTGGTCTTCTGGTTAAAGTTTTTGGTCAAGGTAGTTTTTGATGAAGTTGAAGTCCAATCAACTTGAAACTTAGTACACATGTTTCATATGATATGTTCTTTCTAATTTTTATGCCAAATTAGAGTTTTGACCCCAATTTCACGGTCCACTGAACATAGAAAATGATAGTGTGAGTGGGGCATCTGTGTACTATGGACACATTCTTGTTTTTTGTGAAAATAGTCGCTGAACTGTAGACAAGTATTTTATGCTAATTTATTCTATTTATTATATATACCATTTGTATACTCATTACTTTTAATCTGCAATTTTCACATAAGTTCACATAACATCTAAAAGAATAAATATCCTTGTGTGTATTGTATTATAAGTCATTTGATATCTTTCCATGATAGACTTGTCCTAAAGATAAATTCTGTACACTGTATGTCAAGTTTTTTTCCGTGCAGTTTGAGTTTGTGCATTTTATAGATGGGACATTTAGATTTTTTAGGACATGTTGAAAACACATAAAAGACACATATTTTCCTAAGTTACTTGTATTATTTTAATCTCTTCTTTTCAGAGCCAAATTTTCAGAAGAAGACTTATTAGAACAGTTCCCTGAAGGTAAGATTCCTACAACCAATATTAAATCACTTTTTTTATATTGCTTTTTGATCGCAAAAGAATAATATCTTATTTTTTTTCATTTTAAGATATCTCTATATATTACTACAAACTAAAGGAGATGTAGCATATTTGTTAACGAGACAGAAATTCAATGACAAAAAAAACGAAAAAACACCTAGAGGGCAATATGCAGTTTTCAACAACAGACAGTTATCCATACAATATTTCAAGTTCTAAATTGTCTCGTGTCTATAAAAGAGGGCCTGGATGTCCTTTTTCCCATATTCTTTAACTTTAAAGGTAATTTTTCTCTGTTTATATTTTTGGGCCATTATTCTCTATTTTTTATATTTTAGCACCCCATTATTCTCTATTCTTTATTTATTTGTCCTATTTTTCTCTATTCTTTAGGTTTTTTTGCCCTTTTTTCTGCAAACCCCATCCACACCCTCATTAAAGTTATGAATAAATTTAGCAGTGAAATATATCTGCACAAAATTCTCCAAATAATAAAAAACATTGAAATATGATATACGACAACTATTGATTGATCTGGGGTTTCTGCCTTTCCACATTTCAGCGCTGTGTTTGAGATCTCAAATCTCCCCTTTTTTAATCTTGATCAGTAGATTAACAAGTGTAAATAAAAGATTGTACATGAAAAACAGCTAACTCTTAAATAACAGTACAATATTATAGATAACAAAAACACAAACTAGGTAACAAATAATACAATATTGCTCTGTGTTAAAGGCCTCATTGTGACTTTGAGATGAAGAACTGCAATAAAAGTGCTGTTCCTTTGATTTTTGTGTGTTTTTTGCTGTGCATGTACTGATTTTGTGTCATGGATGGTTACCCAATATCCTTTGTTTTTCTATCATATTAAAGAATGCTCACAGATTCTGAAACCAAGATTGAAGTACTTAACCTGCTGATAAGAAACCATACCAACCTACACTTTATATCAGGTGCTGTATTTCATAGAAGATTTAATGCAGCAATGTCATAAACAGTACAAGAAGATATGATATTGTACAATGCCCAAAACAAACTTCATGTACATAGAAAAACATGAGAAACATTTTATTTTAATTGGAACTAATTTTAGTTGTTTTATTTTTAAAGGTGGTTATAACTTTTTTATGGTTAACCTAAAAGGCTATGTGAATAATAAGAATTTGTATATTGTTTTCAGCATCTGGAAATATGTCAATTGAGAATTTTTCTTCATCATGGTATTTATTAGAGAATCATCATTCCACTAGGTATGTAATTTTATTTATCTTTCTGTTATCTTATGTTATTATAACCACCCTGCTTTTTGGTGGATGAATGGATGGCTGTTTAATATCCAGTGGCAAATTCCCAATTTTTGAAGTGGATGGTATATAATTATAGTGGTTGCTCATCTATTTGCCCTTTCCATCCATTTTTTTTTTGTATCCACTACTGCGTGCAACAAATTTGTTACAACTGTATAAATTTGGAGGTTGTAAATATATGATTCTTTTCAAAAAAATTTAATGTACTAAGGAAAAGTCTCTGAATATAATAAATATGGCTTGCTATTTCAAATGAAATAATTAACAAATTATAAATTAAATGTAATCATATACATATATGTTTTCATTTAGTTGATTTTTGCTTATGTTTTCTACATTTTATTTCAGCTTTGATGATTTAAGGGCAGGTCTTGCTCATATGAAGAGAAAAGCTAAACATCGTTCAGAGGGTCCAATAGCTTTTGTCAAAACCAATTTGTCTTCTACCTTAGACTGTTTAGATAGTTTACAAAGTAAGTTATCTATCGTAATAAAAAAAATAATCCTGTTATTTGAAAACACAATAGATTTGTTGTTTGAAGCTGATTTTGCAATTACAATAAACAGAAGGAGATGTGTTATGATTATTAGTGAGACAACTATCCACCAAATACCAAAGGACCAGGATGTAAACAACCTGGCGCCACCTATTAGGAAGGGATCATAAGTCATGAAAATTTAATTGTATAAATCATTCATACAGACAAGACTAGTAGCATGATTACGGAATTTGTCCTGTTTTTATACAACCGCAAAAATTAAAAATTTTTTGGTCGTATATTGGTATGACGTTGGCGTCGTCGTCCGGCGTCGTTGTCGTCGTCGTCTGGCGTCGTCCGGCGTCGTCCGAAGACACATTGGTTTTCGCACTCTAACTTTAGTTTAAGTGAATGGATCTCCATGAAATTTTACCATAAGGTTCAATACCACGAAAGGAAGGTTGGGATTGATTTTTGGGGTTATGGTACCAACAGTTAAGGAATTAGGGGCCAAAAAGGGGCCAAAAATAAGCATTTTTGTAACTTCCAGACAATAACTTGTGTGTAAGTGTATGGATCTCTCTGACATTGTACCACAAGGTTCCATATCACAAAGGAAAGGCTGTAATTGATTTTGGGGGTAATTGCCTCAAAATTTTAGGAATTAGGGGCCAAAAAAGGGGCAAAAAACAAGCATTTTTCTAGTTTCATGACAATAACTTGTGTGTAAGTGTTTGGATATTTCTGAAATTGTACTACAAGGTTCCATATCACAAAGGGAAAGCTGGAATTGAGTTTGGGGGTAATTGCCCGAAACGTTTAGGAATTGGGGGCCAAAAAGGGGCCAAAAATAAGCATTCTTCTAGTTTCCAGACAATAACTTGTGTTCAAGTGTATGGATATCTCTGAAATTGTACTGCAAGGTACCATACCACAAAGGGAAGGCTGGGATTGAGTTTGGGGGTGATGAATCATAAGGGGGTTCAAAAAATTTGGGGGGGGATTTTTTTTTTTTCTTTTTTTTTCTTTTTTTCCTTATTTTTTTCTTTTAAAATTTTCCATTTTAAGTTGGTTATTTCTGATTAATATTTAAAAGCAAATAATAATGATATGGTAGGAGATACACACCAAACAGGATGTGTAAATTATTATTTAATAAGTATTGTGCAATAGCAAGAAATTTTCAATTGCACAGTATTGCACAATAGCAAGAAATCTTCAATTGCACAGTATTGCGCAATAGCAAGAAATCTTCAATTGCACAGTATTGCGCAATAGCAAGAAGTATCCAATAGCACAATATTGCGCAATAGCAAGAAATTGTCAATTGTACAGTATTGCGCAATAGCAAGAAATATTCAATTGCACAGTATTGTGCAAAAGAAGATACATCGTATAAATTGCTTATTTCTTGATCAATTTCAATGGGGTTTTATTCTTGAATTCTTGGGGTTCTTTAATATGCTGAATCTAACCGTGTATTAAGTTTTTGGATTTTGGGCCCCGTTTTTAAATTGGTCCACATTGAGGTCCAAAGGGTCCAAAATTTAACTTTGTTTGATTTCATCAAAAATTGAATTATTGGGGTTTGATATGCTGAATCTAACCGTGTATTTAGATTCTTAATTTTTGGTTCCGTTTTCAAATTGGTCTACATTAAGGTCCAAAGGGTCCAAAATTAAACTTAGTTTGATTTTAACAAAAATTGAATTTTTAGGGTTCTTTGATATGCTGAATCTAAACATGTATTTAGATTTTTGATTATGGGCCCAGTTTTCAAGTTGGTCCAAATCGGGGTCCAAAATTAAACTTTGTTTGATTTCAACAAAAATTGAATATATGGGGTTCTTTGATATGCTGAATCTAACCATGTATTTAGATTTTAGATTTTTGGGCCCCGTTATCAACTTTGTCCACATTGAGGTCAAAAGGGTCCAAAATTTAACTTTGTTTGATTTCATCAAAAATTGAATTATTGGGGTTCTTTGATATGCCGAATCTAACCGTGTATTTAGATTCTTAATTTTTGGTTCCGTTTTCAAATTGGTCTACATTAAGGTCCAAAGGGTCCAAAATTAAACTTAGTTTGATTTTAACAAAAATTGAATTTTTAGGGTTCTTTCATATGCTGAATCTAAACATGTATTTAGATTTTTGATTATGGGCCCAGTTTTCAAGTTGGTCCAAATCGGGGTCCAAAATTAAACTTTGTTTGATTTCATCAAAAATTGAATTCTTGGGGTTCTTTGATATGCTGAATCTAACCATGTATTTAGATTTTGGATATTGGACCATAATAGGTGAATGTCCAATTTAAAATTTTTAAGTTCTTAGACTGCATTCATTCTGTGTCAGAAACCTATGTTGTGTCAAATATTTAATCACAATCCAAATTCAGAGCTGTATCAAGCTTGAATGTTGTGTCCATACTTGCCCCAACTGTTCAGGGTTCGACCTTTGCGGTCGTATCAAGCTGCGCCCTGCGGAGCATTTTATTCTTATATTGTTTCTTATTACAGCTAGCTAGTAGACTCTACCTAATCAGATATTGGCTAAACAAATATATAACGGCTATTGTAATATTATTTCAAAACACCAAACCCTTTCCTATATGTTTAATATAAGTTTTATGGTGTAATCAAATATCAGCAAATAGGATAGGAATATTCAAAACAAATTTGTCAAAACCATGCACAATCGGATATTTTCAATGTTTTCTGACAGGAAATGGACCCAGAAGTTACACAATTACAATCTTGCAGACAAGACATTTTTACACTTGTAAACATCGTGGTCTTGTTCCTGAAAAATAGTCACTCTAACCCTTCTATACAGCAGTGGTCAGGACTAGTTACATCTCTGGATTAGGTCAACTTATTATTGCAGGATATTCAATGAATATAAATTTGTTGTCTAATTTAATAATTTATTGATATATCGGGTAATGGGATATTTTTTCCTGACATTTTGAGTATCCAATTTGCCGGAGTCTACTGTAATAGAAAAGTGCAATAAAGATATTTTAGGTGGAAAAAGATATTATGTTAAAAAGATGTACTTTAAGCATCAATTATTTTTATATGAATACATATGTCATATTTATCTAGTTTGTTCACATTATCTGATTCAGCCATTCCCTTTGTTGCAATATCAATTTTGTGAAAAAAATTAAAGGAATTTATGTGTATATTAATTTGATTGTATATTTCAGATATGTACAGTAAATTCTGTAAAGATGATATAAGAGGGGAATTTATAAATTCCTATGCAGTTCTTCTGATGCGTAAGTATAGGAAAATATATACTGTAAAGCCAGTTTTGTTCTTTTAGAATATAAAAAATACTGTGGTATGATTGCAAGTGAGACAACTATCCACCAGGCACTATAGGACAAGAATGAAGCAACTATAAGTTACCATATGGCTTTCTGACAAATATCAAAACCCATACTGTATAGTAAGCGATAAAAAGACATTTTAAAATGTGAGATTATTCAAATGAGAAAACCATCAGCCTGATTTATGCTAAAATCAACCAATGAAAAACAAGTATGACCGATGGCAACCAACAACAACCTCTGAATTACAGGCCTCTAACTTTGGACAGGCACATAGAGAATGTAGTTGGGTACAACATGTTTGTGAGTACTCAACCGTAATCTTTTCTGGGAAATTATGTATTAAGTTGACTGTATCAGCCTATAAATAAAAAGAATAACTATTTTTCAATTGAAATATTGAAACAAAACAACAAACCATTGATCATTTATTCATTACACACAATTTTCCATTATATTCCTCTCTAAATTTTAGATTGGTATGTGTACTTTATTTCCTTTTTACATTTGAAATACTAAGATGTTATTCTATATGTGAACTTTTGTTTTAGAGGCTAAGTCATGTGCTGATGGATTGTTCCAAGAAGTACTAGGACGGAAGGACAAGGCAGACTCTACTAGAAATGCACTGAGTGTTTTACAGCGATTTAAGTTCTTATTTTATCTTCCATTAAATCTACAGAGAAATATACAAAAGGTAATACGGTAATACATTATTATTTGTTGGATACCAATTTTCGTGGATTTCGTGGGTACAGGTGAACCACAAATTTAAATTTTCAACGAATTACAAATTTTCCAATGACTTTAGCAAAACCATGAAATTAAATATTCACAAAAGTGCAAGTTTTCCTCAATCCATGAAAATTGATACCCACGAAAATAAATGAATCCTCAGTATAAGTAATAAGTCAGATTTTACAGGAATTGCCCTTATTGTTATGACGAGACTTAAATTTTATGTTCTGTTAAATAGATATGGCTAATACAGATTGGAGCAAGGGATTGTAAGGAACATTCAATACACTTTCATAAGAATTATGTCTTAATAATGATATTCAAATCAAACATACATGACATATGTTGAGCTAAATTCGCCATTTACAAGTAATTTTTGCAAAAAATGTTAGCCATAACTTTACCTAAAAAGATATTTACCCTTATTAATATCTTTGTAAAAAAACTCTTGTAGCAAAATACATTTTTGGGTACAGATGTGACTAATATTTAAATATTAGTGACACTTTCTCAAAGTAAGACTATTTTCAAAGTGTCTTATTTTGCAGTTTTTTCATTAATTGATATCTAACACATATTTTTCTAGGGAGATTACAACATGGTTATAAATGATTATATCAGAGCCAGATCCTTGTTTGCTGATACACAAGTACAAGTTTTCAGAAAAGGTAATAGCTTTACTATATCAAACACCAGCACAAGTTTCAAACTATGAAAGAGTTGAAAGGTCAGTTATGCAAATTTTCTGAAAGTGATAAATTCAGATCTAATTTTTGTCTTGCCTGCTGCAAAATTTGCAAAATACAAGACATAGGGATGCTTCTCCAGTGGTGGTGTTAGCTTTTTGTATAAAGATTCATATTTCAAAACTGGAAAATCTGCAACTGGTATACAGATGCCTAATAATTCAAATTTCTGTCTGGCGTATTGTTGATTCATTATTATACGTTTAATACCAACTTTCATGGATTTCATGGGTACAGGTGAACCAAGAATTTCAATGTTCAGTGAAGTACAAATTTTTCCATAGACTTGTATGCAGGCTTTGGTAAAACCACGAAATTAAATATCCATGAAATTGTAAGTTTTACTCAATCCATGAAAATTCTACCCCAAGAAAATATAAAATGAATCCACAGTATGTATATTGTCCTTGACCTCATTTTCATGTTTCAATGACAGTATTGTATTTATTTTATATTTACAGTATACAAAGAGGTAGAGAAGCAGATAAATGAATTCAGAGACATGTTAAAACAGAAGTTAATGGAGTTACCAAACTCGCTGGAAAATCAGAAAAAATTAATCAAGTATGTATAACACATTTATGAATTCTTCAATTTGATATTTGCACATATATCACATTGTATACTTATAATTGAATACATTGTGTCTAAAGTAATTGATTCATTTAAAAACACTTAATACGCATGCTTTCACTTGTTTACTATAATACAACTTACATTTTCACCTGATTAATTTATTACTTGGAATATTGCTCTTCACAAAAACATCTTACAAATTAGATTGATTTTAAAGAGAGAGAGAGAGCATAACAAACTCAACCAAAAACTTGGGCAGAGTTCAGGTGCTCTGAAAGGATAAGCAGTCGCTGATGCAAGTAAAAATCTGGTATAAGTCACATTCCGTAATGTCACAAAAGGACGGGATTGTGTGTGCTCATATGTTCATGTTCTAAAAGTATTTTTGACCAAAAAAAATTGTTGCGAAATTGTTTACTGGTTAATGAACACATTTGAATCATTTTTCCCCTCAGATATTTGATCAGTTTAGAATGTAGTGGTGATCCTGCATGGGAATGCCTAGTTAATCAACAGAAATGGCTGACAACTATACTGCTACGTTGTAAAGAACAACATTTACAAGAAGGTAAACTAGTTATTTTATGATACAAAGCATAATTATGAATTAGCTGGGTTTCAGAAAGTGCAAAACGTCATTATGGTATTGTGATTTCGGGCCAGAAGGCTGGTTGGTTGACAAGAAGGGGATATGGGTACATACTTTGTTAAATCTTCTCCTCCTACAGTTTCAACCCAAATTCCATAAAACTGAACAGAAAAATTGCATTCATACTGAAGTGACACCTGGACCTGCTATTATGGACTTGTTTTAAGGAATATTTCTCAATCTTTAAAGAATGGCAAACTTAATAATTTTTTCTTGTTTGCTCTAAATGAAAAAAGTGGATCACAAACTTGAGAAATTTACATTCAGATTATTAACGAGAGTGATGCATTCATACAACAAGCATTATTATTTACATATATATACATACACATATCTACAAATTTATAACAGGAATCCCCCAAAATATCTGCTTGTATCTTTTATGATTGTATATAAGTTGTTTTTTTTATTCTATTGATAGTTACCAGCTTAAGCTATCAACATTTTATTGTATCTCAATTCATCTATTGGTTGGTAAATTGACCTTGAAATATTTTTGAAGGATATTTTACAGATCTATATACATATCTTGTATTTTTATGAAAATGTGAAATGTGAAACAAAGAAGCCTTTGGTAAAAAAAATAGGAATTGTGTTTTGAAAAATTTTGTTTTTTTGCAAAACCAGTGAAAGGCATCTTTGAGTTTATAGAATTATAAATCTGAAATGAATACAAAATACTACATTTAAACATTTCAGAAAAAGAGAGCCAACCAAATGGTGAAGTATTTGGCACCCCACAGAGGACATCAAATTTATCTAGGGGTAAGTCTGTATACAAATATTTGTCAAGGTTGCATGAAGTACAAAACCTGCATATAGTATGGGTATGGCCACAGACCACAATTAAATTCCTCTATTAGTTCTTTATAACGTTTTGTTTCATTAAAAAAATTGCACCATGCATTTTTGTCAAATCTTTTGTGTGTGTAATGTATAGTACTAGTCCAAAAATATATCCAAAATTCAGAAAGATTGAACCAATCACTCTTACAAATTTAGCCAATACACATCCATACGCCTATGGACAAGTCAAGAGATGCTCCGAAAACTGTAAATATCACCTTTTTGCACCTGGCCTACTCACTCTTTCCATATCAAAATCAGTTAAAATACAACATCCAAAAGTTTATTTCACCTCTCTTCTTTCATTTCCATCCAAAAAAAAAACTAAGAAATGAGTGAGGAAGGGAAAGAAAAAAAATTAAGAAAAAATACACTCTAATTAAAAGGAACTATATTCGTGGACAACGAAAAGCGGGGTCATTAATTGTGGTCTTGGGCCGTATGTTTTGTGGGTGGTATGTCACAGAAAAGTGGGTACCTGTTATGTAATTTTTCAGAAAAGTTTTCAAAAGACTACCAAATTTGTGTAGTCAGTTCCTCCTACAGTATTCAACTCAGTTTGAAGTAGGATGTTGAGTCGGAAAAGTTCATAAACATTTTAATAATAAAATTCAAACACAATTTCTGCAGTGTTTGTTTGCATTATAAAACTATGTGTCACCATCTGATGTCACACTGATTCTTATTTGCATCTACATGTATATGAGTCTTGAATTCTTCAATACAATGAATAATCTGAATGTGTTGCCATATTCAAATAGTAACTTATTTCCTCTGTTGATCTTTTTTGTGTATATACATAAGATGAAAGTAAATGCATATCTCCGTATTGATCATTGTTAATTATTGATGTTATTTTTTTTTCAGCAAAACCAGGAGATTCAAGCAGTTTGAAATTAGATCATGGTTGTAAGTGTTGAATTTATGATGTTCTTATTTATGTATCTTTAGAGAATCTTTCATAGGGTGGCATGTTTTATTGGAGAGAAACATTACAACAAAAAAATCATATTTTCATTAATTCTATACCAAAGCTTAGCTAGGTTAAGCATTTGCTGCAAAGGGTTTATTGTTAACATCACATTAAATATGTTGGAAAAGAAATACAAATATGAAAACTTTTTCACATTTCATGTTGGTGAAAATCATGTCAATAAATATATAACAACTCTTCAAGTTTCATTCATTGAAAAGGGATATCTATGATTTAATTTGAAAATAAACAAAGGTGAATTAATACAAAATAAATATACATAAAGTCACCCTTGAATGAGCGTAAATTTTGCCCAAAAAATGCTATTGATCTTTACTAATTTCAAAAATGTCTATAGAGGAATGCACAGATTAAAACAGGAATTTGAATAAATGATAAAAAATAGATCATGTGTACACAAGTTATTTCTTTTTAAACAAAAGGAACTAATGATAATTTTCCTAGAGCTACAGTGTTTTATTGATGGTATATTTTGTAGATGTTTTTTTTTTATTTTGCCTTCCGTATATGTACTGTGAATTTTAAAAAACTTGTGCACACTTATTATTGCAACAACAGACACTAATGCGATATGAATTATTGCGATTGCAAGAAATGCTGGATACAAATGCTATCAAAAGTTAGAATGTGAATTTTTATTTTTAAGAAACCTATTCCGTCGCATTTACGCAATAACAAACATATCTAAAATTTCTGATTTTACAGTAGACTGTTTATTTTTTTTAGCTTCAAAGTTTACAAATCCACAAAGAATAATGTATATAGAGGAATTATGTGAGATTCTGACTTACAATTTACCAGACCTGTGGAAATTGGGACAGGCATATTTCTCTGGAGCATTAATTGTAAAGGAGGTAAGAAATTAATGAACTTAAGATGACCGTAAACTAAAGTACAAACAATTCATGATACTACAATCCATTAAGGTCTTATAATTTTTGAGGCAATATTAAAGGAGAAGAGATAACCTGTCTATTGTATGTTGACATCCAAATGTCTTAAGAAACTTGGTTAATGGAAAGAGTTTAACTAAAATTCATTATACAAAAAATTGTTGCAATTACCTCCCTTACATCATAAAACTGCAAAGAATCTTTTGCAGTTGTTTTATAATTGTATACTGTTGCTAACTTGACATTTTATTTTACAGCAAACAGGAGAGAAGGCATTTAAAATAGATGTTTCTAAGCATAGTCAGTTTAAGGTAAGGTTTAAGTAGAACTGAGAAATAGCATTTTCAATATGTAAGATATTGTAGTGATAAAAGGTTCAAGGGTCAGGAATGATGCCATACATTGTGGTCATTATAAGGGAACAAAAGTAATGATGACCATTTTCAGGATGAAGTTAACTCTCAGCTATTATTATGACTCCATTACATATACATATACTTTTGTACATGTGTATGTGCACGTAAACATAAACTATTGTATTCATTAATTATATACAAATAACATACAGTTGAATGTTATAAAAGATTAATTGGTTTACATTTTGTCATTCAAAAAGCTGTCACAATTTTATTTAATTGTATTTGACCATTATTTTTTTTCTTGAATAAATGAAAATGTTTTATACTTTCAGGAGTCACTTTTTGATTCTCTTAAAGAATTTTTAGTAAATATCTTGAGGTTCCATTTACCTTTGCAAATTGCACACACATTCCTATTGAAAAACGAACGCACAGCTTTATAATCACACAATGTTGAAATCCTTGCATTACAATCTGCTAAAATAAATATCTGAAAAGATGAGATGTTGCACATTATTCTTAATTTGACAGTCCTCACAGACTCAGCAGCTAAATATCAATCAATTATTACATTAAATGCCACATGATATGTCAGTCTGATTGGTTGATATACTTAGTCCAATCTTTTTGTCTTTTATCTAATTAACAGATATAATGATCAGGAAGTTTGAATTCATATACAATATTTCTTGTGATAACAAATTTTTGGTAATTCAGGAAAATTTATGTTTTTGTGGATACTGTATATGTACTTTTTGCTTGTACTTATTTTCGTGAATTAGGTATTGCAGATGAATTTGTATTTGTTTAATTATGTGGTATTGTTGAAAATATCAAAACATTAATAACAGACTTTCTGTTTTTCTTACAGTGTATTTATAACCCCGCTTTAAAAAAGGGGGTATACTGTTTTACCTCTGTCTTACCTTCCGTCAGTCCGTCAGTCCATCCGTCCATCCCATTAATATTTTCGTCGCATTTTTCTCAGGAACTACTTGACAAGGATTTCTGAAATTTGGTTTCAGGGTTTATATAAGTAAGTTACACCGTGTGATGCGTTATCAGATTCATCACTTAACAACTTCCTGTTTACCAAACTCTTGTATTGTTTTACACATGATAGCCAAGTTGAAAATTTTCGTCGCATTTTTCTCAGGAACTACTTGACAAGGATTTCTGAAATTTGGTTCCAGGGTTTATATAAGTAAGTTACACCGTGTGATGCGTTTTCAAATTCATCATGCAACAACTTCCTGTTTGCCGAAATATTACAGCGGGGGTATCATCAGTGAGCAGTAGCTCACAGTTTTAGTTGTTATTTATGCAAAAATATACCTATCGTGAAAGGAGTATGGCCACAAAGGCCTTAAATTGGCATTAGAAATCAAATTTTGATATACCACATGTAAAAGCCCATATATTTAGGATCTTAAATATGCATATTTAGATAAACCCAACACTTTTGTTGATTTTTGCTTGTTTTAACAATGTTGACAGCTTCAAAAGTACCATAATTTACAAGTTTTTAGCCATATTTTCTTTCTGTTTATAAGCATTTGTAAGGTCTATTTACGTCTGATAAACATTGGCCACACCTTTCAACCAAAATAAAATCATTATATAAAGATGTATATTGGTCCGATACACATCCTAACAAAAAGTTATGGTGGTCCTTGCATGTGGCCAACATCGTTTGAATCAAAAAGTATAAAAATTGAGGCAAACATTAGACAAAGTTACTATAAATGCTTCAAAGAATGTTTGTTTTGTATCTGTCCGATATTTTTCGATATTTTTTCATCAAATTTTTATTTGTATTACTCTTCGTGAACCTACTGCTTTGTGTAAATACCTACAACAGGAAAAAAATGTACATCTGCAGATTTGATTTTTGGTGTTTTTGTTATTTCTCCGTACAAGAAATTTGTATTTTGTTGATCACTTAAATGTGTGATTAACAATACCCATGAAATCTATGAAAATAAGTACTCCCTTACAAATATGGTTAACGCATAGACGTTTTACAAGTCCTAATGTTTTCTTGCTGGTGGGTCCCCTTTTACAAAATCCTGGCTCTGCACCTGATAAGTACCCCACAAATATTAATAATTCCATGGCTAACAATTCCTAGTGTGTCAGTGTTTTATAATCTTTTGAATGCTTATGATAGTCTAAATGTATTGTTTTTTGAGAATTAGAATTGTTAACTCATGTTGTAGTAAACATTAAAGTTGTTGTGATTATAACATATTTTGATAAATATTTTTAGCAAATGATAACAGATACCATTAGTTTATTCTCAAACCTGGTGAGAGCAGCTTTCCTACCACAAACTTTACCTGAAAAAATGTCAACAGACGACATTACCAAATATGGTCAATGGAACCAAGATATCCCAGGAGACTGGTTACCATCTTGTGTCAGACATATTCGGTATGGTGTACAATTTTCATAATTTGTATTTACAGCAAGAGATTTTCGTATTTCATGATATTCACAGCAAATAATATGTTGATAAAATAACCAAAATGTATAAATTAATAGAGATATTTGAAGAAAAAACATTACTAAATAACTGAAGAACAAACTATTTTTTTTTAAGTACCTTACAATTTCATGTAAAAATTGATTACTGAAACCACAATGCATGCAAAATATTTTTTAGGCTTTAAAGAGTTCTTCTAAAAAAATAAACAAAATTTGTTCTACTGTTGTTTCAGAAGTTTTAGGTGTTCTATGTCCTATGTAAGAGGACCTCATTCAATGATTAATTATTTACGACTTGATTTGTTCATTCTGTTTTAGGAATTGTGTTGGTTCCCTGTCCTTACTAGATTTACCAGGGGAATCCCCCACAGTAATAAATGACCTAGCTTTTGATATGAGGACAAACTGTATGTTCACTCTATTAAAACAAGCAATTGCAGGTTAGTCTAATAAATGACTTTTTTTTGTCAGTACTTTTGATGTTTTTGCCCAATGGGAGACATGGGGATTTCAATTTTGCAGCAGTGGGTGCATAAGCATAAATAATTGTATAAAGTTTGATATTTCAGGGAGTCGAATACCTGAATGTTTAGTACCTTGTATTCAGATGCTTAATGTCTCAAAGTTTTGGTCTGTTTATATGTCCATTGCCTTCGACCTCATTTTCATGGTTCAATGACTGCTTAAAGAATGTATAGTCTTTTGTCATGTGAATTTTCTCATGTTTCTCTACTATAAATTTCTTTTTAGTGAAATTTATTGAAATATAAGACATCAATGTAAACACACTCACATTAAACCTACTGAAAAATGGACACTCCATAAGATTGAGTCAATGGAACATTACTATCAAGTAAACAAAATTTATCAAAAGGAATAGACCGCCTCAGTGGACTTTTCAAAGGCTTTTAAATTGGTATTTGCTGATTCTCCGCTTAGCATGCAGAATTAAGGAGTAAGAGCAGAGACTGCTCGGAGTTAGAATAATGTGTCTGGTAGGGTGATATGTCTTCTTGCAGACTGTTACCTTGAAACTAGCACATTAAAAATTCGGCTGAGCGTGTCGGTTTAGTACAAAGCAGGGTAAATATTCATATTTCATTAACATGTTCTTGTCCTGAATATGCATTTACATTTGCTGCTATTGGTTAAACAGCCATCATCATCATCATTATCATCAAAAGGAATAGAAAACTTGTCCTGATATTCATTGATTTTAGTTTAATAGAAAAACAAAGGATATGGTGTATCCATCCATGACACAAAATCAGTACATGCACAGCAAAAACACACGAAAAGCAAAGGAACAGTGCTTTTATTGGCAGTTTATTTAGTTTGCAGATTACCATAAGGAATTCTAACATCAAAGTCAAAATAGGGATATAACTCAATATTAACATTGATTATTAAAGAGGGACTTGGGGTTTATAAAATTTCTTTGTATATTTAGAAAAATCTGAATTGTTTATAGATAATGACATTGTATCTTCTAGATATCTGAAGGTATTACTTAAATGTTAGGGTGTTTCTAATTAAAAAAAATAGCACAGATGTATATTTATTTGTTTAATTTTAGACATACAACAGCTTCACATTAAAGAAACATGGATTGTAGAAAGGGATGATGAATCAGGGGGAACAACCCAATTGGTAAATATCTTTTCTATTTCATCTGATTTCAAATCAAGGAAGTCATTATTACATTAAAAAATACTATGCAAAGACAACTTATCAATGGTTTGAATTGTTTATTGTTGGAGTTACTATAAGAGAATTTGAAAAGGATACATCTGAAAACCAATAATATAATTTTTATTTCCATAACATTTATGTTACAGCCAGCATTATTTGAGAACATTGTTAATAACAATAACATTTATGTTACAGCCAGCATTATTTGAGAACATTGTTAATAACAATAACATTTATGTCACAGCCAGCATTATTTGAGAACATTGTTAATGAGAATAACATTTATGTTACAGCCGGCATTATTTGAGAACATTGTTAATGAGACTATCCAGCATCTGCATGAAGTTGTTGTCCAGAATAAACAGGGGGAACCAGAGGTAGGAACAATTTATTACAAGATTATTCGTATATCATTGACTCGTTAATTCCTTTTCAAACCTGTCTAAAGGTATTTTAAAATGTTAGCTTATAAATACTTTTCCTTATTTTAAAATAATGTATGAATTTAGATGGTGATGATGATGGATTGCTGCTCAACATCCAGAGGCAAGTTTTACATGCATATCAGGACTAGAACATGTTAATGAGATATGTGAAAATGATAAACCCTGCTTTGTACTGGAACAACACACAGAACCTGATTTTTAAGGTGGTAGTTCACAGTCCTCAGGAAGACAGATCAGCCTACTTGAACAGATTACTGTTAATTCAGAAATTATTGTGTGCATTTATTATTGTGATTTTTGAAGAATGAATATAAATGCAAGTTTAATTATTGGGATTTAAGGATAATCTCCATACAGATATATGTATCAGATATCAGAACCCAAGTTATTATTGTGTTGCTCACCCAGTCACATTATTGGCATTAATAAAAACCTCTCAATAATTTCTGAAATCAAAGTATTCCAAGCCAACCCTCTTTACTCTTTGATTTCAGAAATTATTGAGAGGTTCTGAAATCAAAGTATTCCAAGCCAACCCTCTTTACCCTTTGACTCCTATTCTGATTGCTCATAGAAGAAACAGCAAATACCAATTTTCAAGTATTTGGTTTGACCAAGGTGTAGATTGAACCCATAATCTCCCATGTTCTAATTGGGCACAATACCACAGAAGGGGTATATGAATTTATAATATAAGAAAGGTTTTTTTTTTATTTAGATTTTTGTTTCACATTGAGGGTGAATTTTTTTACCGTACGAGGCATAAGGAAACAAAGTTTTCCACTCAGTGTGAAACAAAAATCTAAATTGACTGTAATGGAACAACATAAAACACCAGAAAATAGTGTTTTTATTTTGTTTAAGAGGAGACTGAATGTATTATTTTGAAACACGTATGATTTTAAAATTACTTCTTCAAACATAATTGGTCCATGTAATTTTATCTTCAGATATTTGGTCAAAGAACAGTACAGAAAGATTCTACACAGTTGTGTTCAGAGTTACTACAAGCATTTGTACCATGTTTAGATTGTTTAGCTTTTACTCCTGTAATGTCAGGAGGATCATCCAGGTAAGTAAAATGATTTGTAAGTGTTATTCATTCCCTTTCTCCTATGCTGTTTAATTTTCCTCAGTTTTGGTATGTTTGTGATTTCTAACAATATGAATATCATATTTTAATCATCCACACTTTTAGTCCTTGATCACCAAAAATCTTGATTTTCTTTGTCAGTTGCCATTTATGTTTACATGTGCGACTTGTAACCGAGGAGTTGTCTCTCTTTTACCAATTTTGATGGCTATATGAATTTGCTTTGAAGTAAGTAGGGCGGCGATTTTCAAAATTTTTAGCGACTTTAATCGTCATTTGGCTGTCAAGATCACACCCTGGATATGTCATTATTTTTATTATCTACTTTCTATGTTAGTCCTCATTCATTCTCGAAAATCCAGTTCACACAAAATTTGGACATGAAAAGGACCATTAGATAAATATCACTGAGTCAAGATTTTTTGTGCTGTTCAGTTTTTCCAGAATAATATCCCTTTGATATAATTATACCCCCGCTTTAAAAAAGGAAGGTATACTGTTTTACCTCTGTCTGTCCTTCCGTCAGTCCATCCATCAGTCCGTCAGTCCATCCATCAGTCCGTCAGTCCATCCGTCCGTCCCATGAATATTTCTGTCGCATTTTTCTCAGGAACTGCTTGACAAGGATTTCTGAAATTTGGTTTCAGGGTTTATATAAGTCAGCTATACCGTGTGATGCGTTTTCAGATTCATCACTCAACAACTTCCTGTTTACCGAACACTTGTATTATTTTACACATGATAGCCAAGTTGAAAATTTTCGTCACATTTTTCTTAGCAACTACTTGACAAGGATTTCTGAAATTTGGTTTCAGGGTTTATATAAGTCAGCTATAGATGTGTTTTCAGATTCATCACTCAACAACTTCCTGCAGGGGTATCATCAGTGAGCAGTAGCTCACAGTTTTACTTGTTTTTCCTTCTTTTTAGTGATGTAACCTCCATCTTGTCCTTGCAAATAATGGTGTGTGGTTTAATGTTTGCCATTGTCATATTGTAATAAATAGATGGGTATACATGTCCGAATTTCTAACCTTTAAAATTAATTTTGGGCACCTTTGAAAAAAAAAAAACAGGGTTAAAGTATCACTTGTCTGTAATTTCTAGTCATAAAAATATCAATTATTGTCAATGGATATCTCAGTTTTTATCTTGTTATATATGTCTGTTATCCATTGGTAGTCTCTGTTACATTTATTTACCAATTGTCTAAATTGTAGGTAGGTAACAGCTTGAAATATGATATACTGTTAATTCAGAAATTTTTGTTAGGTTTCATTAATGCAAATAATGCGACTAGGCAAGAATCGCAATACTAAGAACAAACATTCTGATATTTAATGCAAATACATATATGTATGCAGATTTTTCTGAAATAGCAATAATTAATCGAACATTTTTGTCCATTCTTCAAAAATCGCAATAATAAATACATGCAATAATTTCTTAATTTGCAGTAGATATTTATATTTTTTTTTTACTATTTCCCAGTATAGATCTCTTTTCTGATTATGTTATGTTGTTTGGTTGCTAACCTATTGATGTATACCATGTCTCCTTTTATGCATTTCCAAAGAACTTCTTTTAAACATTTGTTATTTACAGTATAACAGACGACTCAAAGAAAAGATTCTCAACATCTAGTATGGACTTCGAGGAACATTCCCTACAGTTTGTAAGTAAACTTTGGTCTTAAAATACTAAATGCTTTTGTTTTGCAGAAAGATACCAGAGTGATGAATTATTTTTATATTTCAAATTCATAATACCACCCTGCCAAATTTCTTGATTTATCGAAATACCCTACGGTAAATATGAAAGAACAATTTTGAACATATTTAAATAACTGCAGCAATCTCTAAAGCGTTATTGTCATAGGAGGTTTTGCATTATATTTGTTTTGTTAAAACCACCCTGAATACCAGAGGTTTCCACTTCAGGGATCCTATCATATTGAATATTCAACAGGTGCTGGTGAACTCCCATTTTTAGTGTAAAATATTGTTTTAATGTTATGTGGACTTTTCAATTAAAAAGATAAGAATAGATATTAATCTGCTGTCCTCCATTCATTTAAACAAAACTCCAACAAAGAAATTTAATTTTTAAAACTTTTTTGTTAGTTGAGAACTGGAATGTTGCTAAACAAAAAATGGAAAGTTTACTACGGGAAACTTTAAATCATCTTTTTTTGCAATGAATATAAAAATAAAGAGATGTGGTATAATTTCCAATGGAACAAAATATTTTCATCAATTTTAGCAATGAATGATACTTATTTAAAGGAAAATTTAGAAAGGGGCCTATATATTTTTATGGACATTGATTTGTTTTAATAAACTTGAGGAGGTTTATATACATCAGGGCTTCCAAAACAAATTTGAGCTAGTCAGACATTTTTGCACCCTGTTTTTAATCTCACAAAAGACTTTGTAACTTGAGGCAATAAAGGTAATCATTGTGGAATCAAAGTCGACATTGGGACAATGACACTGACACGAAATGATTACTCTGTACTTTTGATGTCGATTCTGTGAACTGACATTAGTTCATACATAGATAGTTCTGTCAATTGACAGTGCATCGTTTGATGTGTGGAACATCAGATGATAAATGTTTGGGCTTAACTCTTTAATATTGTCAAGCATTATCGATTTTAAGTCTTTTATTATACGTTATTTCTTCAAGTAAATACTTGAAATGAACTTAAGATACATGGTATAAATTATCTAAATTTGTATCTTTCATCATTTTGAAACTTTTCTGATGCATAACTAAATTCAAACTATGCGCAGACCTGTACTTATGTAGACAATGTGGTTCTATTGATTTTTTCATTCTTCAACCTTTTAAATTTTATTAATCAATCAGTTTAAATTCTTTTTTGGTAAAATAAATTATTTAATGATACAATTTTTTAAATGCAATTTAGTTAAATATGAAAAACAATTTGAAAAAGATAACCTTCATAGTAATAAATATTTTGGTGAAGGGGTATTCAATAAGGGCTTGTTTTTATAGCATTTACTCCTTGTGTCACTTTTATGACAGAAAAAGTGTGGTTGTGATAGGGAAAACATCCAGTAAAAAAGATGGCCTTAACCTTGATTTTTTTTCTGAATTATATTAAAGTGGCAAATCTATATTTGGTATTTGCATAAGCCGTATACTAGCCAAACAAAAATAAATTTTATAAGTCATGACCAAGTCATGATATACATTTGTTAATTCATGATTCTTTTAAAGAGATTAGCTAAATTTCCAAATGACCTTACTCAACATCAAAGATGGTTGCAAGTGCTAAGCATATAATTTACTCTGGACCTTTAACCTTATTGAGAATTGCTTTCAAAATTATTTTTCTCGAAAACAATTGTCAGAGCCAATTTTAACAAATCCTATCAGAATTATCTTTAATTTGTGTAGGTTATATGATGTATATATTGATATTTCTATGGATAAAATTTATTTTAATTTCAGGATAAAAGATTGATTATAATGTTAAGTAACTGTAGCCACACCATGGAAAGGATCATCCCTAGACTCATAGAGAACCTGAATAAACATGGATATGTAGAAATGAATAAAGCCTTACAGGTAAGGCATGAAAATTATACCAAGAATAGTAGAAAACCTCAATAAACATGGATATGTATAAATAAAGTCTTACAGGTAAAGCATAAAAATTTGTACCTCAACTTGTATAAAACTTGAATAAATATGGATATATTTGTAGAAATGAATAAAGCCTTACAGGTAAGGCTTACAAAGTTATACCTAGACTTGTAGAAAACCTGAATAAACATGAATATTTAGAAATGAATAAAGCCCTACATGTAAGGCATTAAAAGTCAAACCTGGAATTATAGAAAACCTAAATAAACATGGAAATGAAGAAGTAAATAAAGCCTTACAGGTAAGGCATCAAAACTCTTCGAAAACTTGAATAAACATGGCTCGTAAACATCTCTAACCCTGACACATTCTGAATGTGCCTGTCCCAAGTCAAGAGCCTGTAATTAAGTGGTTGTCGTTTGTTGCTATATATCATATAAATTGTTTTTCGTTTATTGTTTTGTACATGAATCAGGCCTTGAGTTTTCTCTTTTGAATTGTTTAACGTGTCATTTTGGTGTTTTTTATAGCTTGCTATACGGTATGGTGACCTATAGTTGCTAACTTGTACATCATTTGGTCTTTGGTGGAGAGTTGTCTCTTTAGAAATCATACCACATCTATTTTTTATAAAGAATACCTTTCCTGAGAAGGTAGCAACCTTAGTTTTAGCACAATTATGTAATTTCATGAACTGGAAATGAATAAACAAAGTATAATTTGAATCATTCTATTATAAAAGCGCTGGTTACTGCGCTTATAATACCTTCAGACCTATCAAGAATGACGAAAACTGTGTTAGTATTATTGTCTTGCCTTGACGGAGTCAAAAAGCGAGACATAGGTATGCTGTTTCCGGCGTCGGTGGTGTCAAAAATGTATTAGTTTGTGATTAGGTCTAGTTTATAGTGAACCACTAGTGGTAGGTCATTGATATTTGGTATGCAGTTGTATTAGCATTTGGCCCCATCCCCTCAGTCATGGTCTATTGACTTTGAAACTTTTGCTTAGTTTACATGTTTGTGATTAGATCAATTTAAGATGAACCGCTAATGTTTAGTCAATGATATTTGGTATGCAAATTTATTGCCATTTGCAAGTTTTGTTTCCATGATGATTATAAAACCCCACCCCCTCATCATGGTTCATTGACCTCGAAACTTTTACATAGTTTACAAATTAATGTTTGTGTTTAGGTTTATTTAAAGGGAATGACTTATGATAAGTCAATGGTATTTGGTATGCAGTTTTATTAGCATTGGCACATCTCATTTCCATGGAGATTGTTTAGCCATTTATCTTCATTCATGGTTTAGTTACTTTGCATATTTGCATACCTTACATGTTAAAGTATTGCTATTTTAATTTCAACATTTGCATTATCAAAATAACAAAAAGGCTAGACATATCTCTGTGTGTACAGTTTATATAATTATATGCATTGAAATTTAGATTGAATATCATTTGAATCCTTCCAATACCACATCAATGGTTAATACCCTCAGGGAATTATGGTCCATAAACATAGGTACCAATCCAATATGTGTTTCTGGAATATCATATGTATAAAGCTTGCTGTTAAGGTAATATCCAGTTCATATTATATTGCAGACCACCAGAGAAAGATATGAGGAATTGGATAATAAATTATTTGAAGCCTACATAGAAGAGAAATCAAATCCTATTGTGGGAGCTATTGAACAGAATATGTATAGGGGAAGATTTGATTGGAAAACGTGCAGGAAACCAGCTGGTAGGTATCCAGATTTTCTTGATATATTTTCATTTTATCCATGTACAGTAACTTTGCAAGTCAAGTGAAACAAAACAAAAGCTACCTGTATTGATTTAAGTGGAAGTGAAATATGTGATATGTGAAGTAAGTTTTATCTTGTTTAGATTTGCATTGAATAAACAAAAGGACAGTACAGGATATGTGATGTCTCAATGAATTAGCTGTGACATTAAAACAAAGCCACTTTGAAGAACAATATTTTTTGTGGTAGAATTTTGTGAACATATACATAACAGTATGTTCCCCTTCATAATTTCTATAAAGGTTTTAAAGCAGGATACAAAATCACAAATTTGTATGTTAACAAGTATTTTGAAATTAGTGGAGTGGAGACATATTTTGAAGGGATGGTCTACAGTTAGTTTTAATTTAAAGTCTTAAGAAATTTCCATCTGTGAGAGTCCTCAAAATTTGCTGGGATATAAATTTAAACTTATATTTTATGTACATATAAGCAAAATCTTTTTTTTTCAAAAGTGAAGGCTTTTCAGCACTGTATTTTTTAGCATAATGAAATATTCAAACAATTTCTATTTCCTTCTTATCTCAAGTTATATGTTTAAAATGCAGATGAAATGTAATGTTCTGTTTAATTTAGGAGTCAGAAATTACCTGAAAGATGTGATAATGAAAATGATAGAGGTCCATGCTGAAGTGTTTGCTGTTTCCCCATCCTTTGTTACCAGGGTTACACAGAAAGTTGTTGAGTCTGTGTCAGAGGAGATAACAAGAGTTATAGAATGTGTTACTGAATTTAATGAACATGGAAAGTTGCAGGTAATGGAAATATTTGTATAAGATAACTATTGGAAGTTAGAAGAAATTAAAGGGACTGAATGAAGATTGCTGACAATATCTTTAGAATTTTTTAAGCATAAATTTCTTGATGTTCAGAAGTAATAGTTTTGCCAAGTTTCATCAAGAAAGTGGTTAAAAATTTTGAGGAGTATTTGCAAAGCATTAGCTGTTGCAGCCTTCCAGGGCTCTTTTTATTGGTAAAGTTTTTTTGTAAATTAAAGTATTGAAACCAGATAGTTAACTTGTTTTTCATGTTGAATATTCATAAAACATTTGCCACTGGATGTTAAGCAATGCACAAGTGATCATGTAATCATTAAATGGGGGAATAATCATCTACTCTTTAAGATTACAAAATGTATCATGTATTTCAGGCTAGAGTAGAACTTATGGCTCTACAGGAAACAGTGAAACTTTACATAACACCACATGCAAAGTGAGTAGTATTTGTAGGAAAAGTGTTTAATTTTAAATTCCTTTGATTTTTTGCACAAACTTTTGACATTAAATTAAGAAAAAAAAGGATTTAAACAGCCTTTCTGGTTTTACTGTACGTGTCATGCACACTTTGGTGCTCAAAATCATGGCTTCAAATCTAAGACTTCAAAACTGGTATTTACTGCTTTTCAAATAAGATACATTGAGAAGTAAAAGCAAAGACTGATTGGCTTTAAGTCAGAATAATGTGTCCAGGTAGAGTGTGTAGTCTTCCTGTTGAGTTCTAGTTGCATGTTGAAAACCAGACTCAGTGAGTCAGTCTAGTACACATTAGGGTATATTCATATAACATGTTATTGGCCTGAATTTTTATTTATAATATATGAGATTGCATTTTTAGCTCATTCTAGGGTAAATTCACATGGAAAATATTAGTCATATTCACTGAATTGCTGTATATACAGAAATAATCAGAAGAACCATTAGTGATAATATATTGTTATATTTGTCTGAACTAAATATATCTGTTTTCCAGTGCATGTTTTAAAGAAGCTATGGATAACCTTGGCAGTATGAAACCAGAAGATAAAAAGTAAGAAATTTATTGCCACTTTGAAAATGTTCAGTCTTTTATTTCCTTTATTGCATAGATATTTTATGATACACTAATATGTCTATACAAAGCAGTCTTTTATTTCCTTTATTGCATAGATATTTTATGATACACTAATATGTCTATACCTTTGTTTGGTGACAAATTAAAAATATGTATATGTGACAATTTTGTTTACTTAAATCTTCTATATTTAGAGATGATATTGTCAGTTATGGTAGAAATTCCAAATTCCTCAAGATTATATTAGAAATTTAAAGAAAAACATTAAATTTTGAAAATGCTTGAAAGATCTTCATATTATTAATTTAATCTAGATAAAAAGAAATCTCAAATAAATGAGTATAACTTTATTGCTTTTTTGCAGACTGTTAGAATATCTATTGAACAAGTATAAATCACAGATGAAGTTTCAAATGATGTGTTTCTATGGAGATAGTCTTCTAAGAAATTCTGTATCAGCATAAGATTGTGTTAAATTTTCTTTTTTACTTGACAACTTTTTCTTTCACAAGAAACTATGTGGATGATATGTTATGATTAAAGTGAATATAAAAACTCAAGTTTCACTAAACTCAGAACAAAATAATGTTAATCATTACCTACATATGATGTCAGAAAAACAATATTATTCATATTGGTATCTGAGATCTTGTGACAGAAACTTTTCCAAAAAGCTTTATTATAAGTGGAAACAAATTTGTAGTGAAATTTAATGAAAAGACAACCGAAAGGAATATGGCAATGGTTCATAATTACCAGTAGATATCATACAATCATAGAAAAAACACATAATATCTTATTTATAGTTCATACATAATTGTTGTATGATTATGATTATAAGATGGTAATTTTCTGGTTTGTGACAGAGTAGTTGTTAAAATTGTGTTACATCTTAGTTATTGGTCTGTCATGTTTTGTTGACGTTTGTGAAGAATACAGTTACTGCCTTAAAGTGTACATTGATCATTATACAGTTATAAGTTAAGCCATGATACTTATCCCAATAATTAAATTGGCATTTATATAAAGCATATTTATAGAGTTTGCATTTTATTTGATTAGCAACTACAGAAATAAATATGCATGTAATAATTTCTGAATTTATGGTATAAATATCCAAATATTAAACTTCTGTGATATAAATCCTGTATAGGAAAGATGTATGCTTACCAAATGTTTGAGTTTAGGGATGGGATGAAGTCATGAATCAACTCAATTCAATATAAAATAATTTCTAGAATTAAAATTCTAAATCTGTGATATGTAAAAAGAAGACCAAATTTATGTCATTGACATTACCAGAAATATATGGATAAATATTAGAATGTTTGTAGATTGAAGTAGGCTTGAAAATATTATCTCATTGTATAACATTGCCAAGTTAATTTTGCAGATTATTTTAATTGTTTTGATTTATATGTTTTGCATTGTTAATATATTTTGTCTGTGGTGCATCTAAAATATGTGCAATATATTTATTAAAGTCTTTTATAACACCAATTTTCTTGTATTTATTTAAACGTTTTATGACTCCTACCCATATTGTATTGTAGCCATTTTTACAAAAGTTAAAGAAACTTATTTGATGCACCAAATTCTGCCTTTTAAAAATATTTTTATTGCCAGTTTTGCTCTGAACTAAATATTAGAAAACAATTGGTTTACAGTATTATAAACTGTTCATGACAAACAGTCAACTATTATTTGCTGAAATAGCTAGTCTTATGCTAACACAGGAGTATCAGAAGCCAAGATGGCATATCAGTTATTCAATAATCACCAGGCTTTACACTCTAAGTAACTCTAGCAAACATACAGATAGATACTGCTGTCACTGTTGTTTTTACTTTTTTATTTATCAGAAAATACAATTTATCTGTCAGGGGAATTACTTAAATGAGCGACTTCTTAAATCACTGCTTCAAGAAACATTTTGTCCAGAAATGTTAGAAGTAAGAGTTGTCTTTCTTTAATAATCACCTATTTAAGTAGTACAAACAAATCACTAGACTAAGTGATTTTATCTTATTGTAGCTTTAAATATATAATATTAATGATCCTGGGACTAATTATGTTGCTAAAATTATCAGAACCAACATCTGTGTTTATAGGATGACCGGTCTGTCAGGCAATGACATGAAAATCACTTGTTTAAGTATCATACCTCTATTTTCTTTCAAGAAATCACTTATTTACCGTTAAGTATTATTTATTTAATTACCCCCCACTATTTTCAATACCCTCCAACAGTAAAATTTTGCTGGCGAACAGTAAAGTTTTATTACATAATCTGTAAGCTGAAACCTTGAATTTTACAGGAAAAATACTCCCACTGCTGGGAAAATCTGTATTAGATCATTATGTAAAGCCTTCATTAAAGCATTTTTTTCAACAAATTTAGGTTTTACTGATGAATGATTGCATCAAAGGTATAAACATCGCTACTTACAAGAAACAAAAGGTCCATTTTTTTTTCAAATTTACTAATAATTATTTATAATCTAAACCTTTATGTTTAAAATTTTGGTAAAATTACAAAATCACAGAATTTCTAAAATGCTACTTAAATGAGTGATTTAAAAATCACTAATTCCAGTAATTCCCCTGACTGATTTATTGATGCTTAAAGAAAAATTATCGGATCAGTGATTAATTAATTCTGTAATTATGGTATTCAGATCCTATTTCCATGCTTCGCCTTCTAGTAAGAGAAGCGTTGACACAGGGTCTATTTCAATCAGCTTCAAACAACTTTTATGTGGGGGCAAACCTTCCACTTTTGCCTATTTTAGCCGCATGTTGTTAAAATAAAAAAAAAAATCAGCTATCAACAGGGTTACCAATTATTTGAACAAAGAAACAAAGAAATTAAAGTATCAAGCCAATTACTTTAAGATTTTAATCTTTTCACACAGCCTGATTAAAACAATAGCATTCTGCTCCAAACGATATAAGTGGGAAGACCTGAGTAAAAGCAATTTAATAAGGTAATATTTTTAATTCCATTATTATTAATCATCATCATCTATTGATTTAATAGTCATCAAAAGCTGTCTGAGAGGTTGTTTTGGAGTAGAAGTGCACAGTAAACCTTCCTCAAACTCAAAAGGTATATGAAACTTGTCTTTGAGAGGTGTGTGAAATTCGTTAGGTTTTGAAACTGTCTCCTCCTTTTTTGTAGTAGGGCGTTCATTTGAATCTTCCATAGAAGCACTTGTAACTAACGCTTTGTTTTCATGCAGATGATCTTCTTTGTTCATTTCACAATCTTTGGAATGATCTTTTCCTGTTAAAAGAATAATATTTATAGTATTAAAAGTAATTAATAAATGTCTTTTTTCAGTGCATCTTGAAACCAAACGGCTTAACCTTATGATGACCTTATTTATCCATACTATTCTTTGATGGTTTCCTGGACCTCGTCATGTAGACTGTTTCTTACACTTATTTTAAAAACTAACGATACTGTGTCAGATATTGTCCAATTATTGTGCATATTGCCCAATTATATTACTGAGGTTCAAACCTGTTATCTTATATTATACTTTGTTTGTGTAAACTGTTCTTTCCTTCTGTGTCAGAGGTTTAATGGAATCATGAACTACAATGATGCAAAAGTTAGGATTGCCGTTGTCAAACCGGTTTAACCCTGGTAGAGGACATTTTAGTGAATCGTGAGGACAATTTTTTTGGGAAAGATTTGTAACAGTAAAATGATCAATTCCAATTTTAGCGACAAATGATACATCCATGTTAAGTCATTTACAGCATTAAATACTAGTATTAGAATCTATTAAAATGCAGGAGTTAACGTCTTGATAGTTTTCACAATAAAACCAATGATCTCACTTAATCTGTTTCTGAATTAAAAAAAATACAAGATATCGCCAATGGTCGTATTTAATGCATTCTTAAGATATCCTCTCTAAAATATTGTTCATAGCATTACAGTATTAAAGAACTGTTACTTCTCTTTATCTTGTCAAGATTTCTTGACCGTTTAATTATTTGTCGATGGTATCTTCACATATTTCTCTCAAGTTTCCTGTTTTAACATAACCAACATTATTCAGTATTCTTCAAGATACCACGGTGAGTATTTTAATTTTGACTCTCTAAGTTATCACAAAAAAATCGGTTTTCGAAAGTACAGGTGAAGGGATTAATCTGTCTCTATAATTGTCTATTCGATGTCGACACTAAAATTTCCACTAGTATTTGTGTGACGGTTTGCTAAAATGTCCCGCGACTGTTTTTAACCCATTTCTCCCCTTTCTATACTTTGCCAGAAATATACCGGACGTTCCCTATACATAAGCTATGACTTTTTAAAATGCGCTGTACCCATTTACCTTTATATTTCCTTGTGTATATTAAATAAGATTTGACTTTAGTGTGACCTTTGTACATGCACTGCATGTTCTTGCAATTTAACATTACGGAAATCATATCTAATAATAATTATATAGGACATATAGCAAAAACAAGAAGGAACACAAGTCTGAATTTAAATAAGTTTATAATGCATGTGTTAATAATGAATACCTGTCGTTTTCCGCCTCCTTCTTTTCCATTTGAAGAAGAAAACAGTGACTACAATAATAATAACAAGGAACACCAAACATCCAGCAATAATTCCCGCCAAAACAGGTGTAGACAATACTTCAGTGGTCGTCTGCTGACGATGACAAAAGTGTTCGTCGCTGTTGTCGCCACAGTCGTCAATAGTGTCGCAAAGGTTACTGTCCCGAATGCATCTGAAGTTAGCACACGTATACTCATATGGGCCACATGCTATAAAGGTTAAAAAGCATGATAAAGATAAGCGATGGAGTAGTTAGCAAACAATGGAAAAGAATAAGATAAAAGTTATCACCAGATAGATAAAAACTAAATGTTTGTACAGTGATATATATTCCTAAATGTCTCCGAAGTACGATAAAAAAATAACTGAAATGTACTTTTTTAGAGAAGTTTCAAACTAGGGCACTATATAAATCGTCGGTTCAACTAGCAATAAAATGCATCATTTGTAGTCAAAATAACCCTGTTTCTAGATCCATCACTCCCAAACGGGACATCAGAACAGATTCCATATCCCCATTCCAACCAGACTAATAAATCGCTCAGACTGTTTTCCAAAGTATTAGAATTGAACTAACCTCTTTCTGTCGGACTCACAGGCACTTGTCTCAGAAAAAAAAACCCCAATATAAGTACTTAAATATTAAAGTATATAGGTATTTTTTCAGAAACAAGTGCCTGTGATCCGACTGATTCCAAGGCCTCAATGAGAGATTGCACTTTTCGGATGGTAATATGAATAAAGAAGAAATTGGATAGACGGCAACCCAACGACAATAAAGTATATCACCCCCCCCCCTCTTTTTCCAAAAAAAAAAAGAATCCTAGCTAGGGGAGCTACATAGTCTTTATCATGCAATAAATGGGTTTCTATGCAATACTCTAAATTGTTCTCGAAAACAAAAAGTTGTGAATAACATGAATAAGTTAACCAGAAATAATCAAAGATCTATCATAAACATCAAAATATAAACAAACAAATAAAAAAGACATTAAGATATGACTTTGAAGACTATACACATACGTGTGTGACATTAACAATCATACATACCTGTCCGACATGAGGTCTCTCTCGTAACACATGTATACGGGGAACATAGCTTGTAATCTGTCGGATTAATTTCACAGTTTGTTAAATTTTTTACATTCTCCATTTTACCTGAAACAGAATTTAAAAAGGTTCAAGTTTATAATGTTTGATTTTTTGTAAATAAAGTATTCAGTTCAAAAGGATTGTTTTTATTGACAAATAACTGTGGTCGATGTTTTGTTTTCTTTTTATATGAAAAAAAATACACATGATAGTAAACATATTGAATGAGTTTTTATGTGGTTTTATGTGGTTTTACAAAATCAAGTTCAAATAAATATCAATTCTTTTGATAATTCATGTTAAATAGAAACCCAACTATATCATTTAACCCTTTCAGTATAAGAGAGGTAAAGTACCAGTTAAAAACCCTGCCCGTGTGACAGTTTAAGGCATATTTTTTGTCTGGTCTTATCTAGTCCGTTAACTTTTTTCAGCGAATTACTTATGATATTAGTACATGTAGTATGCTTTTCATTTTTGTTTTACTGATGCACGATAGTTGAAAGATTGAGAAATTCATTTAGAAAATAAGGAGTCTTTCGACATTAAGTAATCTAATGAAAATAAGATCCGTTCGCTATGCTTATATCTTCGCCCAGAAAGCTAGTAAAGATAAATCTGAATTTTAATCAGATTGCAATTCACAATCGTTCCCGGTTTCAAGCATCGCCGAAAAGACACATTGGAAAATTAGTTACACGTAACAAAAAAATATTATCAGCCTGAATGAGACATTGAATGTTTTCTCTTCTTTCACTGTTAAAACTTTAAGACTGACATGTTAAGTCGAGTTCGACCTTCCTTACTAACTCTGCTATGGTAGTTTTTGCAAATTACATCCAAAGCCAAAAGCTTCAAACGTTGGAGATAACAAAAATCAAAAGGTTATCAACGGAACAATCAACTGTCTAAGGTCAACTTTACAACATAAGTTAAAACACAATTCTATATTCTTATTATCGGGAAATTTACAAATAAAATGCATCATTTTATAAAACAAAACCGTTTGAAATTTTGAAAATGTGGAGAAAAGAATTAATGTAAAGCCGGATTGATTTTCGTGGTCATCTCGTTCAAATATTATCAAGTAACATACATAGATAATAATGTTTACTAATTTAGTTATTCAAACATTAAATTAAACCAAATATACAATTATAATAGTTTAACATTAAAGTCCGTGTATTATAAATTTAAATTTTAAAGTCTAACTTACCAAGACCCAAAGAAACTCCTATAATCGTCTTTTACATCTAAAATATTTATAAAACTGGCCTGAGGAGAGATTTTCGTGACCTAGCTGTATTAGGTTCGGACAGGTATTTGAAATTCCAGTCTACATAAATCTACATCAATCTTATTTTCCATATCATTTAATGTCAACATGATATCTTAACATAAGACAACGTCTTCACAGTGAAATTTATCTGCCGTGTATCGGTCATGTTTAGTTTTCTTATAAGACATATTTACATTTCGGAGAGTCAAGTAGACTAGTGTCCGAATACGATATGAAAGAATTATATCTACATATATATAGTTATCATTCAGGTTTGAAGCTTTAACCCTGGATTTGTTAAGATATTGTATTAAATTAGACATTTTTATGTAATATATCATTTAATTCTCTCTGTTGAAACATTCAGAAAAGGTAACTATTTCGGCAAAAAAATACTTCAAACTCACAGTTCAGCAACTAGTCAAATATTGAATTATGATTTTTTAACATCAGATGTAGTGTACATGCAAGTTCCACTTATTTACACACTGGTGGATAGTTTTCTCATTGGCAATCGTACCACATCTCATTATTTTTATATTAATGGTACGACATAAGAGAAGACACCAGCAATTAATCTTGTTGAGTAAAGAATTTCATATTCCCACGATTCCAATTTGAATTAGGTTATACTACGTTTATTTAAATTTCAAAGAACGTTCACGACTTAAAATAACATTTTATTCTGACAATCCATCAAATTGTCTGTACACGAATCTAAAAATGTGTTTCACAACATGTAATTAACATACAAACATTCGGTCAGTATTTTGCTTGTCGTTACTGTTCGAACTTACTTACATATGCATGCATATCATTAACATGCATAATTTGATAACACAGACCAACAATCCAATTAAAATATGGTCCCAAGTTCAAGGAAGTTAAGAAATTTGAACCAGGCGCTGAGATGAGGTTTTTTTATAAATATTTCCATAAATATTTCCAAGGATTTGTATACAAATCCTTGATATTTCTAATAAAAAATGCTTAATTTCAATAAGTTCATAAAATCATGACTGAACTATAAAACTTTCATTACCTAAATTAAAATCAAAATAACGAGCATTTTCCCCATGTTTTCTGACTTAAAATTTAAAAAAAAAGTGACTTACCGTTTCAGTGTGCCTTTACAATTATCCAAATTGTGTCAAAGATGACAGTTTGAAAGCCGGAAACTACACCTTGTTAAGCAATTACGAAGTGATCCATGGCCATAGGATATGATACTGTTTAGAGGTGTCCCGTTTCACAGTAAAAACTGTAATTGATAATAAATACTGATTTAAATACTTATCTGTCGGCCTGTATGAAACATTTACTGATTAAAGGTATAAATTAATAAGGAGCTTAACGGTAAAAAAATGAGTAATTACAATTTGTCATACACAATAAACATATCCTTGCTTTGTTTTTAAATTACATGTTCTTGAATTAATTTTCTCACCTGGATCTATTCTGACTCACCGTCTTAAATGTGTGAAAGTTTTTGTTATTTTTTCGTGGGAAATCCACAGTGGATAATATATTCCTGTAATCAATGTAATCGTCTATAGAAGGATAAAATTGCATGATGTCATTCAACAATATGTGCACGTTTGCATGGTTTGGTATGCAGTAGAAAATGTTAAATCGATGACAAAACAGTTGAGATGATCAAAGCCTTATTTTTAATCATATGTAGGCCATATATTGACGAATGGAAGCGATCTGATATATTGTACTCATCCGATGAATTTATTTCAAACATTTATGATCGACAATATGTAAATTAAACGTTATAAATTGAAAACCAATTACATCTCATATTATTTTATATTTAGATTATTCGGCATTGATATACAATGATAATACTTGATGGTGCAACAGATGTTCTAACTTTATTAAAAAGGGGGGGGGGGACATAAAAGAAACAGTAATCGATTAAAACAAACAACACCACGGCCAAAACAACGATGAAAAGACATTCAACGGGCTACAAAACACAACCAAGCAACACGAAGCGCCTCTAAAACCGGAAGTGACATCAGGTGCTCAAGATGGGTCACGCAGCAGTTCCTGCTCAACTATGACACCTGCATGGTGTGTTACTTTCTTATGATCAAGTATGATCAATTATTATTCCTTTTCGGAAACTAATTTTTCAAATCATTGCTGAACAAGTAGAAAGTTGGGATGGACAATCTATGCTTGCCGAATCACACATTGCTGAACAAGTAGAAAGTCAGCTGGCACTGACAATCTATGCTTCCCGAATCACACATTGATGAATAGATAAATGGTCCATGACATGCATGAAGGTGTGGATCGGGGTTTACAGATTAGATAATAATAGGGTGAAATACAAAGAATAGAGAAAAATGGCCCAAAAAAATAAAGAATACTGAGAGAATAATGAGGTGCTAAAATATAAAGAATAGAGAATAATGGGGGGGGGGGGGGGGGGGGGGGGGGGGGGGGGGGGGGGGGGAGTATAAAGAATAGAGAAAAATGGCCTAAAAAATTAAAGAATCTAGAAATGAAGGACCCAAAACAGACCCTCATGAATACCAGTGATATTGCCGTAAAATGGCACTGATTTGATTATGAAAATATCCGTCGCAAATGTACTGATAAACATTTTAGTCGAAAGAACATGGTTTATTTATTTGTTGAAATTTTGCTTTGAACCATAATTTTCAGTAAATGCAAGTTCTCTTGTATTTTTTGTTTGTGTGCTTAGTACCGATATCACGAGAACAGCTAGTCCTTTCCAACTGAATACTAATATTACAGTTTGTTCTCATGTTTTATTTTTAAACTGATAGTGCAGATTAGGGGAGGATTGAGCTCCCACAAACATGTTAAAAACTACCATATTCTGACGGCAGACAGACGGACAGTTTAAAGCAACGATTCCTTGCCCCCGAAACTTAAAAACGTTTACTAGTGGATTAAAAAGGCACCACTAGTCTTTTTTGGGGCCCTTTATAGCTTGCTGTTTGGTGTGAGCCAAGGCTCCGTGTTGAAATCGGATTCCGTACTTTCACCCATAATTGTCTACTTTTACACATTGTGACTTGGGTGGATAGTTGTCTCATTGGCACTCATACCATATCTTTTTATTTATACCAACAGATGTGCATAGTAAATCATTCAGTTATATCAACGTAAAGTATATTTTTAACATAACATCATGTTCAGGTCGTACACATATTATCAAATCTTTTATTCGGTAAATATTTTACAAGGGTCACCACAACTATATTTGTTCAACACTGTAAATAGACATAATTACATACAAATTACAATTTAAACAGCAACATCATCATAACATTTACATAAAATAAAATATTTATAAAACGCACAATACAACAAATGACTTCAAGTGCCCCCTGACCTCGTTTTCATAGACTGTGTAATAAAAGAACTTATACAGATTTCACTTGCTGGTTAGTATTTGGATTAAAATGACATGTCTTAAATCATTTATTTATTTTACAAAAAATGGGATTCTTCGTCAAGAACTTTGCGCTTATTTCGATGTCTTTGATGGTGTGGAATAGTTTTATATCTCTTATTTTCAATAGCGAGGGGATGATTGCTTATTCTAAATTTGCATATAAGTTTTTTGTGTATTAAGATTAGGGCATGTCAAATGATATCTTGTTTAATTTCAGTTTTTATATGTTTGAATAATAGTTTACTATTACTATTAGTTTTCAAGATATGGTATTTTATTGTTATATACTTCTTTATATCTTTGATGAAGAAATGATATCTTAATTATTGTTATATACTTCTTTATATCTTTGATCAAGAAATAATATCTTATTGTTATATACTTCTTTATATCTTTGATCAAGAAATAATATCTTATTGTTATATACTTCTTTATATCTTTGATCAAGAAATGATATCTTATTGTTATATACTTCTTTATATCTTTGATCAAGAGATGATATTTTATTGTCATATACTTCTTCATGTCTTTGCTCAGGTTTGAATGTACTGCACAAGATAGTGTTTTATTCGCTGCACCGTTCTGACGTTGCTGTGCAAGATGTACTCCAAACTTATACTGCCTCCAATGATAGATCGACCACATGATTTCAATATCGGCAAGTAAACATGGATGTTCGTATGCTTATTTTGTTTCTCCACTGTCGCAGGTCGGGAAAGGGTTGAGAGATCATTAACATGTCATCCATGACCAGCCACATGCTATATGTTCCTGTCCCAAGCAAAGCACCAGTCTGTAATCCAGCGGTTGTCTTCGGTTGCTGTCTGCTATAATTGTTTATTATTTTTTGTTGTAAATGTTGTAGTTATCTTTTGAGTTGTTTCACATTTTGTCATCCCGTGGCCTTTTATAGCTTTACGGTATTGGTTTTGCTAATTATTGAAGGCCATACGATGACCTGTAACTGTAACCATCCTTTTCCGGTTGTCTTTTATGGATAGTTGTATCATTTGCAATCATACCACATCTCCCTTTTTGTGGTTTAGTACATTGAGGATGAGGATTTATAAATTGGTGTTTAAGTTCTAGTGACAAATCCAGAGGCGGATTTAGGGGGGCCCAGAGGGCCCGCCCCCCCCCCCCTTTTGGGGAAAATTTGGTTGATTATATAGGGAATCACTGAAGCATGACTGGAACAGGCCCGGCCCCTCTTAGGCAGTCAGTGGGCCCCCACTTATGAAAATTTCTGAATCCGCCACTGAAATCTACAGGCATATCTGGACGAGTACATGTTCGGATTTTATTCCCAAAGCCAACATATAGATATTTTAAAGAAGAATATTAATGCATTGGCACACAGATGATGCCCCGCTTGCATATATATAACGTTATAAAGGGGACATAACTCGAGAACGGTAAAAGGGACGCCACCCAAATTCGAACTTGACCTGTGTTTTTGTCGTTATAGACATTGTGTATAATATTCATATGATTTTGTTGAGGCAAACTAAAGTTAGAGAACAAAAACCCATTATGGGACATACGTCGTACGGACGGACAAAGGTAACACTTAAGGTCAAGTTATAGTAAATAGGCTATGTCACAAATTTTGCTAAAATTTTGCATACAATTTTGGCTCGGTAAACTATATAATTGAAAATCGAAAAATAATGCATTTATCTGTTTTATTATCTGAAATGTTACCGATTGAATTCTTACGGAAGCCGATAAGGGCCATTCAAAAAAAAAAAATTATGTCGTAATTACGACATAGCATGTCGTAATTTCGACATAACATGTCGTTATAACGACATCGCTATGTCGTAATTTCGACATAACCTGTCGTTATAACGACATCGTTATGTCGTAATTTCGACATAACATGTCGTTATTACGACATCACTATGTCGTAATAACGACATAGCTATGTCGTAATAACGACATAGCTATGTCGTAATAACGACATCGCTATATATATATAAGAATATGTATTATGATTGCCAAGAGACTTAATGACACAGAAATTAACAACTATAGGTCATCATAATGCCCTCAACAATGAGAAAAGCCCCCGCATAGTCAGCTATAAAAGAGGGACGAAAGATACCAGAGGGAGAGTCCCCGACATGACAGCTGTTTAATATTTTAATTAAAACGAGTAAAAATAACGGTTTTAATAATGTACAAACAAAAACCGAAAAACGAATATGTAACACAGCAACAAATGACAACCACTGAATTACAGACTCCTGACCGCTATGTGATAATAACGGCAACCTTATAGTTTATCTTTTCACTTTTTGATGCGATAGGCATTTCAAAATGGTTGTCAGTAAAGGCAAAGTTTGTAGCGGAAACAAATTCATCTTTTTTTTTTTTAGAATAATGAACACTATATGCAATCAAGCTTAATTAAAGTTATTCACTTGCACCTCAGACTTGCACATACTAGAACTTTATTTATAATCAAGTCAAATGAGACCCAGTTGAATAGGGGAGCAATTCAAGCTCCTTGGAGTCTCTAATTATGTTTGGCATGAACAGATTTGTGTAAATTATGAAGTCCTGCATTTCCATTGCAGGTTCTGAATAAGATGAATTTTAAGCTTTTCCCAATAAAGACTTTGTTTAACTTTGGACTCATAGTGCTCAGACCCACGGATCTCTTTATCTTCATTTGTACACACTTGAATCTTAATGTACAGTAACTACTGAGGCTTGATGCAAATTATTACTGCATTGCTATTGTTGGTTCTTAATGAGATTATTCAAGCGTCCTCCCCATTGAAGCCCTATTAAAACTTTGTACCCCAAGTTCTTTTAACCACTGTTCCCCAGGGCAACTATTCCTACAAACTTAAGGGGAGGGTTAGGATCCCGCTAACATGTTTAACCCCGCCACATTCTTTATGTATGTGTATGTCCCAAGTCTTTAATTTACATATTTGTTTTTCGTTTATTTTTGTACATAAAATAGGCCGCTAGTTTTTCTCGTTTGAATTGTATTACATTTGTCATTTCGGGGCCTTTTATAGCTGACTATGCGGTATGGGCTGTGATCATTGTTGAAGGCCGTACGGTGACTTTAATTGTAAATTTCTGTGTCATTTGGTTTCTTGTTGAGAGTTGCGTTTTTGAACAAACCAGCGTATCCCAAGGCCTTGATAACCTCTGTAGGCCCCAAATAAGACGAAAAAAACATCAAAATTGGAGAGAAAACTGAACAAAATGGTTTCTAACCTCAGGGATGTAATTACGACATAAATTTTTTTTTTTGAATGACCCTTATCGGCTTCCGTAAATTCTTTCAAAATAAGTGAATATTTGTATAGAAAGCACATTAAACCGGCGAAAAGATTTCTTAAATTTGACTTAAAATCATCAAATCTCCAATTTTTAATACATAGATTTTTATTAAAAATCTAAATGTTGTTTATAAATAAATTTCCGTTTTAATGATGTAAAATAATGATAGGGTCACCGACTTCGTTTTAACGGTATACATAATTCAAAGTGGTGTTCTATTTGAAGAAATACCAAAAAACCGTCGAAATCACTGAACAGGCCGTAAAACGTCAATTTTGGACGTGTTTCACTACACGGGTAAAAGATTGATAATCATGCTGCGTTCACACGTAATTCGAATTCGATTCGCATTAACTAATTCGAATTAGTTTAATTCGCATTCGAATCGTGTTACATCCAAACGTTAATTCTAATTCGAATTGCAATACGCGTCAAATTTGCTTTACTGTCCGAACGACGTTAACTTTTAATTCGTATCAACAAAAACGAATTTCTAATGCGAATTGGTTAATGCGAATTAGCCAATTCGTTAAAAAGGAAGAGTGTGTGAACGCGATTAGCGATTTCGATTCGCATTCGATTCGAATTCAATTCGAATTAAATGTACGTGTGAACTAGGCATTAGACAAAAAACGAAGTCGGTGACCATATGATTATTTTATATCATTAAAACGGAAATTTATGTATCAACAATATATATTTTTTAAATAATTCAACCAGTAATATTACAGATAGTAAAAAATATAAATGCATTATTTTTTTCGATTTTCTGTTATAGTTCAACGAGCCAACGTTGTATGCAAAATTTTAGCAAAATCTGTGAAATATAAAATTGAGAATGGAAATGGGGAATGTGTCAAAGAGACAACAACCCGACCATAGATCAGACAACAGCCGAAGTCTTCAATGCAGCGAGAAACTCCCGCACCCGGAGGCGTCCTTCAGCCCATTTACTTTTCATTGAACTTAATGCCCCCTCCGGTGACGGCGGGGCGGCATAAAAAACGAGTAACGAGTTCCTTAACAGTTTTAAGAGCATAAGTCAGAAGAACTGGTGTGCAGTCAGTGAACATTTACTAGATACAGATATAAAATTTTTCTTTAAAAAATATATAAAAATGGTTTCTTGTTTAATTTAGGAAGCCAATACATATTGTGAAATTTGTGGTGTTCAGCGGCAGCTTTCAATTCAGTATATTTGTCTACAATCTTATCTTTGGTATTTGTTCTAAAAGAGTCTCACTATACAAATCATTGGAACATCATTGCGAGTCACTGAGACGGTTCAACTAGTTCCAAAAACAAACGAATCACAACGATCTGTCGACAATGAACATTTATTTATTAACTTCCCAATAACTGCCAGCATGAAAAAAAAAAATAACTGAACATTATCTAGTCTTTAGTTTTCTATGTTTCATTTCGTATACTGTTGTTTGTCTTTAGGAGTTTTTGGTTTTTTACCATGATGATCACGCATACGATACAGTTACAGGGGAGGTAACGACTCGACGTCAAACTGTGACATATCGGGAAAAGATGCATTTTTCGACTGATTTTTATCATTCAGACTGATTTAACTTGATAACGAGTTCATGGACCCCTCTTTTTTAAAATGACATTAGGTTTGATTACGTATGAAGATTATTTGTACCAATTTTCATGAAAAATTTAAGTCATGCACCTATGAATTTTTTTTAAATTTGATAAATATACAGCAAAAAATGCCGCTTTTTTCCTAAAATCATGAAACTTTGATAAAAATTAATTCTTTCCAAAGAATTGTCATAGCATACTTATGTAAAGAAGATTTTCCAAATGTTTTTACAAAAATCTGCTTTTGTTTATCTTTTGAAGCAAAAAAGTTAGGTACCAGTACATGTCTATCCAAAGGATAGAAATGTCCAAAGATTTTTTTTTTTAAATAAATGTCTACAATTTCGATCCAATTCATCTCTTAAAGTAGCACATGAGGGTATATTTTTTTATAACATATTTGAATTGCTTGACTATTTAAAAAATAGCTTGTATGCAAATTTTCGTAAAAAAAATCACTGTGGGATCAAAACTGTATCGGGTGTCCTTAACTATTTCATAAGGCTTTGTTATAAACTATAATTACTTTTTTCATTGAAACATGTTGATCACACAGGGACTCGATTAGCTGATATATTTTTTTCAATAATCATAGTCGGTTTAATTCATATTTCGTATATCCCGGCTTCTATTTGAACTTGATTAAATTGTCAACTTTGAAACCAAGTTTTCAGTAAATGACACAGTAACCTGTCTATTTATTAATATAACATTAAGGTATATATGAAATATGTTTCCGTTAGCCGTGTCCTCGGTGGTCAGTATTCTCCTTTTTACTCCTGTCAGTTTCAAATGACGGAATAAAAGCATGTCCCTTCCTGATCCTGACATTTGCGTGGCTTTTTATTCATAATCTTACATGCGTTTTAAAGTCACCAAAGTTGTAAACATAATAAAAGTCTTGATTGTACATTGAGGAAAATTTTACTCGAATTGTTTCTTTAACATATGTTGAACGCCTTGGTGCAGTTGTTTGATTCTAGCACTTGAATATGCCGGTAAAGTATCTAGAGCAGTAAAATTATAGTTTTCAAACAGACGCTTAACAAGGAATTCGAAAATATACTTTTTTATGTTCATTTCGGTTAAAAAAAATCAAAGACGACAAATTATAACGGTGTTGTTAAATTAATTCTATGAGTAAAGAAAAAAAAAACCTGTGCAGTTTGAAAAGTTTAAAGGTCTAGCACCCACCAAATATATAAAAGTTGAATGCATTTTGTGTTTCAGAGGGAGAAAGTATTCTTTTGGTTTTGATGCAGTGATCTCCCCAGGCCGTTTTAGCGTCGCGGCACCGCGATGCTATAATTTTTTACCGTGACGCTATAATAATTTCCGCGACGCTATAATTATTTTGAGGACGCTATTTTTTTCTTGTCTGCTCTATGCATTGCCTCAATATCGATGTCCTAAATTTCGAACTTTCATCGAATTGCCGCTTGTGATCATAAAAATTATATCACCTTTAATTGTAATCCCTTCAAATCGGTCATAAGAGGCAATTAAGATTGATTAAATAGGTGTTAATTGCCCTTTGGGTGATAACTGTTTGGATACGAATACTCCAAGCCGACACTTGTGACATGACTAATAACACGTGGCCCAATTGCAAAATTTTGACATCGAGAAAATCATAAACAATTCGAAATCTACGTTTGAATCAAGGCAAATTCGTCTCCTAAGAGAAGAAAAAAAAACAAAAAAAACGGGCGAACTTAACAGGCTGGTCGTTTGTTATTTCAAACTAACAACTTGTAAAGAAGTGTTTTCTTTCCATTCCGGTACTCGAGAGCGTACATAAAACATTTCGATTCTGGGCAAAATAAGTTCTATACTTCATTAGAACGTGATGCAAATTGCGTTTAGGTAATTTTTCATCTATTTATTACAGTAAAATCGTGATACATTCAGCCAATTCGCTTCTCAAACATTGTTTATTTTCGTAATTTTTCTTCGACCGCCATTGATATATTTGTACTAATTATGGATCGGAAGCGGACCAGCTATGATCAAAATCCGCATTTTTACGGTAATAACTACAGACGCAGAAACGGCACAGCTGACAGAATAATAATGATCCCAATAGGGAAAGCTACTCATTCCACATGAATTTACAGACTATTTGTTAGATCTCCTTGCAAAATGTATTTATTTCTATGTAAACGCATTGTTTCAATTAATTTACTGATTAAAGTAGTTTAACAATGTTAAAAACATATATCTGTTTGAAACAACTGGGACTGATACATTGAGTCCCAGGAAATGATGAATTTCAGAAACATGATAAACAGAATATTTTTTAATTGAAATGGTATTACTATATGATACTTTCTTTTCCTTTTTGATATAAAAGAAGTTCTCTTTTGTACTAGATTTTTAGTTGGTAGTTTCTAACAAGAAAAATATAATTCTGTAACTATAAATGAATATTAAAGAAATAAACTAAAAGAACAGTTATACTTTAATTGTATTCTCAGTTATGAATTGAAAAAAAATCAACATAACTTAAAAGAAAGAGAGCATCGCCGCGACGCAACAAATGACATTGAAAAATAAATACATTTTTTTTTACGCCAAATGTGATGCTATCCAAAATTCCTGGGGAGAACACTGTTGATGGGCATTTAATTTTGTTGTTCATCATATAATTTCTGATTATTCATGAACCCAGCTGAAAAATTGTCTTTTTCAGTTTATTATTCACATTTGTTACAACCTTGAGAGTTGAATATTGACGAAATTGTGTTTCTTTGCCTTGTAGTAACAACAACCAAAGACTAGTTACACTTGTATGCAAATTTTCTGCCGTGCGGTTACTAAAAATCACACAAGTCCCCCCAAAATATTGGATCAGTGATCACAATTAATTACCATACCTGCCAACTTTCACGATTTAGGCGTGTACTACACGATTTTGACCCTTTGTCACGATTGCACAATCGTGATTGTGAAAAAACCTCTAAAACACGATTTTGTGAAAATCTACACGAAAAATATGATTGTTCTCGATTTTGAACTGTTCCCAAGGGAAGACAATCGTGATCAGCCAATCAAAGTCTGTGTTTCACATGATCAAATTGGAAGCAAGACAACTCGCCCCACTGGCAAATCGCCCCACACCAAATCACCCCATTTTTTCACAAACTCGCCCCACTTTTTAAATAATCTCCCCACTCTTGTTTACCAACTCGCCCCAATTATAATAAAAAAAGGTTAAGTCCGGTTAAATTTACTCCTGCCAACTCGCCCCACTTATGGAAATAGGTAAAATCCTGATAAATATATAATAAAGGTCTGCCAACTCGCCCCACTTATAAAAACTTATCTATTGTTTGCCATATTTGTGTATTTATGTTCTTGTTTCTAGTGTTGACATTTCATCTAGTACTTCGTTTTGTGTAGTTATGCCAGTGTTTGTCATAAAAGACTTATTGTGCAAACCTATCATCTAAGAATAAAATTATGTAACAACCATGATTCTTGACTTATCATTTAAAACAGTGATTATATTTTCCAGAAAACAAACATCATAAACAGTTACTATAGTCAATAACATCGATCTTCACAGAAATGCTGATACTTACTTCTTTCGGCTTTCTTTCAACCAAAAGAAAAGAGTTAAAAAAAAAAGATGCATTTCCAAGGTTTTCATAAGTATTCATTTAATTCATAAGTGGGGCGAGTTGGTAGGCCTTAATTCAGTACAGTTTAATTCTTTTATTCATTAGTGGTGCGAGTGGGCAGACCTCGGCTGTTGTCTGCTCTTTGGTCGGGTTGTTGTCTCTTTGACATATTCCCCATTTCCATTCTCAATTTTTATAAATGGGATTATACTCCTATTCATAAGTGGGGCGAGTTGGCAGACCTATATTCCTGAATTTTAAACCAAATATGAATGATATATAATATGCAGTACAAGATTTTGAGTTTGGTGATGTTGATTATTGATTACCATATCAATAGATATTTAATCATGCAAATTGTATACATTTCAGCCCAAAGGTAAGCAAGGCACTAAAGGACTGAAACAGATTGAAGAAGAAAATGCATCAACCTTAAAGTTCTACTTATACATCATTTTAGGTGTTAATGTAAGTTTTACAATGTTTTATCAACATTTGTGGCTTCCTGTAATTATTTAAGGTGTTAATATTATATATACCATTCACATAACCAGTAAGTAAGTGTTAGTTTACATAAATTTTGATATTTACATACAGTACTGAAAAAGTTAAATCACAAAAATACTGAACTCCGAGGAAAATTCAAAACAGAAAGTCTCTAATCAAATGGCAAAATCAAAAGCACAAACACATCAAACGAATGGACAACAACTGTCATATTCCTGACTTGGTACAGGCATTTTCTTATGTAGAAAATGGTGGATTGAACCTGGTTTTATAGCGCTAAACCTCTCACTTGTATGACAGTCGCATCAAATGCCATTATATTGACAACGATGCGTGAATAAAACAAACAGACATAATAGGTAAAAATGTCAAAATAGGGGTACAGCAGTCAGCACAGTGTCACAATCTTAATCATAACAAAAACAAACAAATACATTACAGAGAAGCACAAAAAGCATATATCACATTTAACAACCTCATTCATACTGACTGTAGGAATGGATTTTGTACCCCACGATTAAGCCAGAGTCAAGTTTTTTTGTTAAAATGCTAAAATAAAATTAAAGATAAACAATGATAAACATTTCATTAAGTTTGATTCGTAAAGTAGCTTAAATATACAATGTGATCAATGACAATATATATTTAGGCTCATTTGACACAAGCAATAGCAAAAATGGGATGTTTGACGCTCAACAATAACTGCCAACCCTACCCTGCTATAAGTGTATTTAGTTTTAGGTTATCTGAAACACTTATAATTTTGTTTTTTCCACATTGAATACATAAAAATTAATATCACGAATATTGCACAACTAATATGTTATCGTGTAATTATTGATAGATGATATTTCTGTAAAAACTTTTCTACTCATTTTCTACTTATTCAAAGTGATGGGGAAAATTATAAATGTTTATTAAACATGTTAACTTATACAGAATTGGTTTCCATTACAAAAATAAGATATTCCAAGCTTATCTTATGTAAAACAGAACTTACTTAGTATAAACCAGTGCCATATTACTGACAGTGAAGTTATCAGATGTGAATAAGCTTTTTAAAAATCTCTTAAACAACATTTACTTAATACCCCTATATACAATATGATTGTCTATAAGGTCAAATAAAAGCTATAGTTTAATTTATTATTCTACATTTCAGGTAACCTACTTTATTTTGCAGTGTTTTCTATTCTGGGATAGTTTTACAGGTGGTATTATAGTAAGTAAACCTAATAGCTGTTTTGGTATACACTGTTGTACAGTAGTTATTTATGACCTTTTTTTACACCCCACTGCTATACGGTGCAGTAGACATACTAAGTGCTTGTCCTTAACTGTGTCCTTCATGTTTTGACAGCACTCTCATAGGTACAATTCTTTGGTTGGTTTTTATACGACAGCAAAAAAATTTTTGTGGTCGTATATTGGTATGACGTTGGCGTCGGCGTCGTCCGAAGACACATTGGTTTTCGCACTCTTACTTTAGTTTAAGTGAATGGATCTCTATGAAATTTTACCACAAGGTTCAATACCACAAAAGGAAGGTTGGGACTGATTTTGGGGGTTATGGTACCAACAGTAAAGGAATTGTGGCCAAAAAGGGGCCAAAAATAAGCATTTTTGTAACTTCCAGACATAACTTGTGTGTTAGTGTATGGATCTCTCTGACATTGTACCACAAGGTTCCATATCACAAAAGGAATGCTGGGATTGATTTTGGGGGTAATTGCCTCAAAATTTTAGGAATTAGGGGCCAAAAAAGGGGCAAAAAACAAGAATTTTTCTAGTTTCATAACAATAACTTGTGTGTCAGTGTATGGATCTTTCTGAAATTGTACCACAAGGTTTCATATCACAAAGGGAAAGCTGGAATTGAGTTTGGGGGTAATTGCCGAAACGTATAGGAATTGGGGGCCAAAAAAGGGCCAAAAATAAGCATTTTTCTAGTTTCCAGACAATAACTTGTGTTCAAGTGTATGGATCTCTCTGAAATTGTACTGCAAGGTACCATACCACAAAGGGAAGGCTGGGATTGATGATGGGGGTAATTGCCTCAATATTTTAGGAATTAGGGGCCAAAAAGGGGCAAAAAACAAGCATTTTTCTAGTTTCAGGACAATAACTTGTGTGTAAGTGTATGGATCTTTCTGAAATTGTACTACAAGGTTCCATATCACAAAGGGAAAGCTGGGTTTGAGTTTGGGGGTAATTGCCCTAAACGTTTAGGAATTTGGGGCCAAAAAGGGGCCAAAAACACATTTTTCTAGTTTCCAGACAATAACTTGTGTTCAAGTGTATGGATCTCTCTGAAATTGTACTGCAAGGTACCATTCCACAAAGGGAAGGCTGGGATTGAGTTTGGGGGTGATGAATCATAAGGGGGTTCAAAAAATTTGGGGGGGGGGATTTTTTTTTTTTTCCTTTTTTTTTCTTTTAAAATTTTCCATTTTAAGTTGGTTATTTCTGATTTATATTTAAAAGCAAATAATAATGATATGGTAGGAGATACACACCAAACAGGATGTGTAAATTATTATATAATAAGTATTGTGCAATAGCAAGAAATTTTCAATTGCGCAGTATTGCACAATAGCAAGAAATCTTCAATTGCACAGTATTGCGCAATAGCAAGAAATCTTCAATTGCACAGTATTGCGCAATAGCAAGAAATATCCAAAAGCACAATATTGCGCAATAGCAAGAAATTGTCAATTGTACAGTATTGCGCAATAGCAAGAAATATTTAATTGCACAGTATTGAGCAAAAGAAGATACTTCGTATAAATTGCTTATTTCTTGACCAATTTCAATGGGGTTTTATTCTTGAATTCTTGGGTTTCTTTAATATGATGAATCTAACCGTGTATTTAGTTTTTGGATTTTGGGCCCCATTTTTAAATTGGTCCACATTGAGGTCCAAAGGGTCCAAAATTAAACTTTGTTTGATTTCATCAAAAATTGAATTATTGGGGTTCTTTGATATGCCGAATCTAACCATGAATTTAGATTCTTAATTTTTGGTTCCGTTTTCAAATTGGTCTACATTAAGGTCCAAAGGGTCCAAAATTAAACTTAGTTTGATTTTAACAAAAATTGAATTCTTAGGGTTCTTTGATATGCTGAATCTAAACATGTATTTAGATTTTTGATTATGGGCCCAGTTTTCAAGTTGGTCCAAATCGGGGTCCAAAATTAAACTTTGTTTGATTTCATCAAAAATTGAATATATGGGGTTCTTTGATATGCTGAATCTAACCATGTATTTAGATTTTTGATTTTTGGGCCGCGTTATCAACTTTGTCCACATTGAGGTCAAAAGGGTCCAAAATTAAACTTTGTTTGATTTCATCAAAAATTGAATTCTTGGGGTTCTTTGATATGCTGAATCTAACCATGTATTTAGATTTTGGATATAGGACCATAATAGGTGAATGTACAATTTAAAATCTTTAAGTTCTTAGACCACATTCATTCTGTGTCAGAAACCTATGCTGTGTCAAATATTTAATCACAATCCAAATGCAAAGCTGTATCAAGCTTGAATGTTGTGTCCATACTTGCCCCAACTGTTCAGGGTTCGACCTCTGCGGTCGTATCAAGCTGCGCCCTGCGGAGCATTTTATTATGAAATGTTAATCAAAAGTTTCATGTTTATATCACCAATGTCTTGGATTAATTTGAAAGTCAGTGCAGATCAATTATTTTTTAAAGGAGTTATGCCCCTTCCATTCACCCTTCCTTCCAATTATGTAAGTGCTCTAACTCGCACATACATTTCTTGCCAGATTTTTATGAAATTTATATTAAAGGTTTATATCATGTATATCAGCAAAATCTAGGATGAGGTTGAAAATCAGTGCTGATCAACTTTTTAAAAAGGGTCCATGAGTCTCTGCGTTTCTGTGTCATGTAAGCATTCTCACATAAACATTTTTTGCCAGCTTTTTATGTAATTTATATCAGGTTTTTATTAGTAATCTCTTGTTTGAAAATTAGTGCAGATCAATTATTTTTACAAAACTTTTGTCCCTTTGAAATGTAATGTTTATTGAAAATTGCATTGTAAACACTCTCACATCTACATTTCTTGTCAATTTTAGAAAATTTATATCGTCAAGGTCTTGGAAGAATTCAATAATCTGCACCTATCAACTGTTTTGACAGGAGCATTGTTCATTGGAAATAGAAATTATAAAGTAATATTGTAAGGGATCTCCTGCCTACATTTCTTGAAGGATATTTATGGAAAAATTTAAAAGACCCCCCCCCCCCCCCCCCCCCCCCCCCCCAAAAAAAAAAATATCATTATATTATACTCCAACTTAGAAGTGGGAGATATATTGTATTAACTTATCTGTAACACAGAACAAAATTACTTCATATTAAGTGAGCATACTGACAGCACTGGGTTGTATCATATATACTGTAAATGGTCTGTTAGACACCTTCCTGTTTTCCTATACTTTTAATTACAAGTAGAGACATGTTTAGCACCACCACATATTCTTTTTTTGTTGGAATTATTGCCCTTGGACAGATTAAATACCTGCTCAGCAGGGGGACATTTGAAAGCTTTCTTTGATTCTTACATGTAAATGAATTTTTTTCTTGCTTTTGATTATTTTAATACTGTACATACATTATGATATTTTTTTCAGACTTTGTCTGTGTTCGCAGTTGCCTTAAACTTTGGTTGTTATCAATTTATGTCACACATGGCAGGCAGTAAAATAGATCTTAACATGAGTGAAGGAATGTCCGAGTAAGTTATTAATTTATGTCACACAAGGTACTAAGGCAGTAAAATTTATCTAGGAATAGTATGATAGGAAAAATCTTTACACAATACCAAGAGATACAGCTCAATAGGACCTAACAATATAATTATCTGATCATGAGTATCAGGTGATGTTGGGTGTTTTGATAATGAGACATTAACCCAACAATACCAATGATTCTATTCATAAACTCTGAAATTACGAGACTTTTTGTTTTTCTCCAAGTGGGGCCTTGATCATTTGTCTTTTGGAATGCTTTACTATTGATATTATCAATAAAACTGAAAATCCCCCAAAAAGATCATTATTAAATTTAAAATGTTGTCACTTTATATTTGTTGTTCTTTGCATGATTTGAGATGTCATAATTTTTTATTCTATGCGTTACTAGTTTTGACTTCCCAAAACAAAGTCTTACTGCAGATTCATAAACATAATTAATTTTCATTAGAAAATATTTTCTTGAATTTTGTAGGTAAGGAGATACATGAATTAAGTTTCTTAACGAAATACAAATTTTTAATAACTTTAATTGGTGCGAAAGATGAAAACTCAAAATAGGTATCCGTGAAATGAAAAATTGATACAAAAGATATACAAATATATAAATGAACCCACTGTATATTCCTGAAAATAACTTTTCTATTTCAGACATGCTAAAGATATTCTTTTATACACATGTATCGTCCAAAGTTTGAGCATTATATCAAACTATTTTTGGCTGATATGGTTGGTGGTAAGTATTAGTTTATAATACCTCATACTTAAGATTACTTCTATGGATTCTGGTTGCACATTATCATTTCATCTGTCTGACTCAAAATAAGGGTTGAAAGGATAATGATGGTTAAAACCTAAAGACACAGGAGTTTATTTATACACCAATAAAAACAAGGGTAAAAACCAAGGTGCTCCAAATAGGGTAAGGGTTTTTACATTGAGTGTTACACTGTAAAGAAAAAGATGTATTGTATATCTGTGTGGCCAACTATATGTTATAGGTATTCAAAAACAGGGAACAAGTCATTTTACCCATTCTAAATTTCCATTTACTGATTTTAGTTATAATAATAGCTTCAATATCTGTGCTGCCTTCTATGGAAGAAAATTCAAGCCATTAGTAATTACATTGGGTAATACCCTGAATAATATTATGATAATTCAATACCAAGGACTCGATGGACACCATTCTAGAAACTTCTTGTTGCATGTTTATTCAAATTCCTGAGTTTAAATGAACTATAGAGAGCTTTCTTGCGATGTCATTCAATTGGCAAATCTTTCAAATCACGTGCCTTTATGATGTCATTAACCAGTTATTCCATCTACTGTATATTTGCTCTCTATGAAAGCCTTTGAAGAAAAAAACAAGAATAAAATCAAGCAGGCGAGGCCCAGAACAGGGTAATTGCTTTATCTGTTCCTTCATAAATGATCTCTGGAAATGACAGGTTGCTTTGAATCAAATATTTCTCTTCTATTGGTCAACTAGGGCAAAGAAGTTGCTTTCCTGTCCATCACTTTGTTTTTTCTGACTGTCAAAACTCACCCGGGTGTTCACAACAGTCCCTTTCATCATTGGCAATTTCATAATTTTACCAAGTTGATGAAACAGCAATTTTTCATTTTTAAGTAAAGAAATTCAAAGACTTAAACAAAGGGGTCATATGTTATTTCAAAGAATCAACATTCAACAACTTTTCTTTCATTTCCAGTATTTGTAACTCAACAGCGTACCTCAGAACACTCTGATTTTTCTGTGAAATTTTATTCACATCATACAACTAAGAAATCATGGTTTCCTGATTTTAAATGTTTATAGTATGTTGATCCTTACTCTTTCTGAATATCAGAACTGCAGATTATATGAAGTGTTGTAATTACTGTGTACTGTAAATATGTGCATTAATTATTGCAAATCACTGACTACTGGTAAAAATGCAAGATCTAATTAATGCAATTGCAAAAAATTGGTGGAGGAAGAACACAACTAAAATTCTGAATGCAAATTTTTATTTTTGCAAACCTGATATTGTCACATATCCGCGTTAATAAAAACATCACAATAATTTCTGCATTTACAGTAAACAATTTTGAGTAGGCAGAAGAGGCAACATTGTTAATGAATATGAATAACAGGTTTGAGGTTATAGGTCAAAGATAAAGTAACAAAACAACAGAAAAAAGCAGGAAAAACACCCATGATATCTCTTTTACCTAATTTGACATTAAATACTTATATTTATATTTTTTTAATGGAATAAAAGAAATAACAATCCTCCTTCTTTATGTTGCAGATTCCAGGGAGAGCATTTTATTTATTATGGGTCAACATACTAGGACCATGGTTTTTTGCTCCAGCTCCAGAACAAGATGAAAAGAAACAGAAAAAGTTGGAAAGAAAAATGAAAAGACATTGATATTTTAGGATTTTAGGATTTTTTTAAATTAACAATTTTAACATTTATTTGCCTATTTCATCATCATTTATATAAATAGAATTTAAATGATTTAATTATTCAGGAATTTCTACCATAATTGATCACTTAATTGCTAAAAAGACCAGCATGTTAGTTCAACATATGACTTCTTCTCCAAACACCTAAAAGCATATGATAAGTAAGTTATAGGAGAATGTTCTTTTGCATCAATATTGATGTCCAAAATTCTTAATTCTCTTTTCTATGACCACAATTCTCAAATGACCGAATTATAACAGATATTACCACCTTTTTCAAATATTTTAAGGTATTATGACAATTTTGAACTATTCTTACATATTGGCTCAAATTTCAAATAATTTTGAATATCATGACAATTTTCAAATGTTTTTGAATATCACTACAATTTTCAAATATTTTTGAACATTATTGCATGCAACTTTCAAATATTTTTTAATATTTTCATCATTTTCAAATATTTTTTAATATTTTCATCATTTTCAAATATTTTTTTGAATATAACAATAATTTTATTCAGTATACATAACATAGACATACATTGATGTTAACATTTAAACTATGCAATTCATATATTCACTAGTTTTTGAAAAGATAGATTTGGAAATTGTAAAAAAAAATCCTGTTTTAATTTTTTCATCTATTTAATTATTTTGTCCTAAAAGATGCATTTGATAGCTTTGAGCTATACTTATTGATACATTATATTATATGGATAAATGTTGGCATACATCTTCTACATTTAATTTTGATCATTTTATACAAATATTTTGTTTGGGGATGTATTTTACAAAAATATTATATAGAATTCTTAAAATAACATGCAAATGGTTTACCATGTTTACCAGACGCTGCCAGGATAGGAAAACTCTTGTAAAATTAAAAAAAAAAAATTGTGTGTGTGTGTGTATGATTCATAATTCTTAAAATAATTATCTTTGATGTAAAATACATGTACTCAATATAACTAGTTCCTAAGCAATGTACAGAGCTTAATTTGTGAACATAAGATATTAGTTTATTTAGATTTTCATATTTGAAAAAACAGAGTTACTCCCCTTTAATAAGATTTATTTTAATTTTTAAAGGATTTGTGTTAACATTTCAATTTACTTATATTTGAAGCTATCAACTTATATTGTGACATTTTTTTTATTCATTGGCAATAATAAGATTAAAAAACAATATGGTCTATCACAAATTTGCTTTTCTTTTGTCTTTAATGAGTTTTATAAAGACAATAATTAATTTTTGATATTTTTTTTCCTTCTCCATATGACGCAATTGTATATTGGGGTATACTAGAGTATACTCGGGTAATAAATATTTGCATGATTTTCAACTGAGAATCAATTAATGTACACCAAAATATCATGAGACAGCCTTAAAGCTTGAAGTCTGACTAGTCAGTCTTCAAAATATCTAATTATTAATGTATCTTTCAGATGCAAATTTAAATTATTGTTTACGTTAAACATATATTTCAACACACAAGAAAATCCGTTTAACTGGGGTATCATTGTGAACATTTGCCTACAATAGTTTTTACAAATCATGACTTTATTTAATTAATTGTAGCTAATTATTATTTTGTATTTATTATGATGTTTGTAAAAAGTATTAGGAATCTACAAAAACACATAATCTATTATTATATACAGAGTGATTGAAACTGTTAATAGCAATAACAAGAGGGTACCCAAATTGCAACTATTATTTAAGAAACAGACAAATGTTTCCATTCTGTGTTTATTTTGTCGATATTATCTTATTTATTATATAAATCCTCAAAATCAGTTTTTAATCTATACTGAATAATAGAAAAAGGAGTTTGAAACGACCTCCAAATGACCCAAGATTCTGTTATAAGGAGTAACTAAATGGCATGCTTGCTTAACTTTACTTCAGTAAAAATTGATAACTGATGTTTTGTGTTATTTATCGACATTTGTAGATCAATTTGACAATAGTCTATTCTTACTTATGTATTTAGTAAGAAATGGATTTCTGTGGCCTATTTTAATTTTAAAAGTTGACATTTTGTTGATGTTGCATGTAACATTTCCGTCAATTCTACATTTTTTCACTGGATACTTTGTTTTTTGATATATTATGTAACGGTTTTGTGTCTATTTAAGTATATTCAGCAATGTTGTAAGACATACAAAATGGCAAATAATAAGAATATGAGCTGTTTAGTCTCGGAGAAAAACTATAAGATTGACGCTGCTTTTTTTGCAAAATGGGTGCATATTGGGTAATTGTTGCAATTTAGGCACTGTGACATAACATATCATTGGTTTCCTTCAATTTCTCCTTAATTTTATTTCATCTTCAGATCCTCATTGATTTTCAAACCAAGTCTATTTACTTCTAAATAATTTCAAATGAATAATCTAGTCCTTATCATTTTTCATCAGATTTTCTTGTGTAATAAAATTTCCATCAGGAGAACTGGAGTGAATGTATGGTTAGAACAGATACATCATTATCTCATTTAATGAAATTAATATTATATATTGTAATTGTATGTAAGCATTATGATTATGTCCATTTAAGTTGAAATCGATTCAAATAAAACATTCAAGGAAAGTTGTATGCAATTTGTATGCCTAGTCTGTGATACTGTAAATTCAGAAATTATTTTGTGCATTTATTAATAGCAATTTTTGAAGAATGGACAAAAATGCTTGATAAATTATTGCGATTTGAGGAAAATCTGCATTGAGATATATGTATCAGATATCAGAATGCCAGTTCTTATTTTTGCGATAATCACTAAGTCGCATTATTCACGTTAATAAAAACCTCGCAATAATTTCTGAATTTACAGTAGTAAAAAGGCAATATGTTTTCTGGTCTGTGCATCTGTACATTTGTCTATCTGGCCTGTATTAGGTTACAGCTTTTGGTAAATGTAGTTGACCATGAAGGTGTAGTCACAAAGAAACTTGGTACACATGTTTATTATGATATGAACTTGTTTAGTTATATGGAAAATTAGGATTTTGACCCCGATAATCTGGGACTATTATACTAACGGGACTGGAAACTGATCTATCTGTTGAGATTTCATTGTCCTGATAGCGGATTATTGATTTTTTGTTTTGATTGACAGCTTATTGTGCCACATGGTTAATTAGCCTTCGGTACACGTAAACAATAGATTTCGGCGAACAAGTCAGCATATAGAATACCATTAAAATAGGTGGATTTGAAATTAAAAAAAAAATAATTAAATGCGAAAAATAAAAATATATGATTGATTGATTTTTGATTTTTGGTGTTTTAACGCCACTTTTAAGCACAGCTTTTGGGCTATTGCATGGCGGCCAGTTTTTATTGGTGGAGGAAGCTGGAGTGCCCGGAGAAAACCACGACCTTCGATAGGAAAACTGACAATCCTAGTCAATTAAGATTGGAGTTGAGTGCACCCGCACGAGCGGGGTTCGAACTCACAACCTCAGTGTTGACTGGCTAGTGATTACAGTAGTAACTACTTAGACCACTCGGCCATTGAGGCCCCCTAAAAATATATGAATAATAAAACTATTTTAACAAATTGAATTCATTGACTTGAAATAAATGTTTTCACACGGGGATAAACTAATGCCGATTAAAACTGGGACAACTTCTTCTTTATTTCAACTTAATCTTCGAAGTAGTTTTGAAAGATAATTACTTTTCTTTTTGTTTACAAAAATTATTAACAAGTAGTCAATATATTAGTTTTGAAAATAAAACAAATATAGTAGAAATGACGGCGCTTTACTTGACCGCTAAGAAAACAACGTGTCGAAGGTTAACAGATCATAATTAATCCTAATTAAAAACAATAAGTGTGCAATAAAAACAATGTTGGCAATTTCAGTTCATATTAATCCCTATAACAAAAGGTATCCAGGGTCTCATAAGAATATAGCCACATTGTTTTGAACTTTTCTAAATTTCGTGTTTACACCTAAATTTCAATATGGCAGCAAAATCTGTGAAAGGGCCTACTTTTGTAGTTCTGATTGTGGAACCTATTGGACATATTTTCACGAAGTCATATGTTTATGCCACCTGAAGACCATTACTAAGCAAAAAACACTCCGATTTTAATACAAATATTGCACATATAAATAGGAGTAAGCAATTTTAAAGGAACAGTATAATTTATTTGAGCCCTGCATGTGATTTCCATTTGTAATGAGAAGGAGATTTATATTTCACTTTTCACCTTAATCAGTGACAATAGGAATAGGCAAATCCAACCTATAACCTATTTTACAACAAACAGAACCTGCGTATCTCTTTTCAATCAACAGTTTTAAGCAATTTTATGAATCATACTAGTTTTCACAGCGTCCCCACGCTATTATCATCCTGAAAAATATTCAACCTTTAGATGTCATTTTTACACTTAAGCTGGGAGTTGGTGATTAATAACAACTGTCAAAGATCGAAATATCTTTTATCATTATAGTAATCGTGTTTACATTAAGGATTATCGTTTCGAATAACTGAAAAATAAAAACAAATTACAAAGATTATACGATCAAGGCATGTTGTCACTGTCAAAACAATATGGCGTATAGATAAATCTCGCGCAGGTAAAGTCTCGTTCTAACGACCGTGATGTTGAGTATTATTACACTGATTGGTGTAACGGTTTCCATTCCCGTTAGTATAAAAGTCCCAGCAATAACACTGAACACAGAAATGCGATCGTGGGAAATAAGTACAAACTCAGGTTCAATTTTTTGGTTAATATAAAAATAAGAAAATGTGGTATGATTGCCAATGAGACAACTCTACACAAGAGTCCAAATGACACAGAAATTAACAACTATTGGTCACCGTACGGCCTCCAAGGTTGTTTACCATGAAGATTTGGTCACATCAACTTGAAACTAAGGACATGTCCATTGTGATGTGAATTTTAAAACTATTTAACAAATAACGATTTTGACCCTGGTTTCAAGGTTTACTGAGTATGGACATAGGATGGTGTGAGTTGGGCATGGCTTCATATGGACACATTGTTTTGTTTATCTTGATTTATAAGTGTGTTGTAAAACTGGCAAACTATTACCAGTTTCAAAGTAAAAGTGCTTTTTACATGAAAAACATGAGATTATAAACAGTGGATGTAAAATCAGAATTGTTCCTAACATAGCACTACTCTATGGTGGCAGGATAAGGGCATTTCCTTTTTTTTGCCTTTCCCCTTATCGCCTTTCATATTCTATAGTGCGTAAACGTGGAAAAAGTGTAAAAAAAGTGAAAACGTGAAGTAGAGAAGTTTTAGCCCTATGGCGTTGTCAGAAAACGCGAAATGGCCTTATCAGCCACCATAGACAATTCACATTTACAACATTCAAAATAACTTATTTGGCCCAAAGGGTGGTGTGAGCTTTAGCCAAATGATGTCTATAGTCTGTTATCGGTGGTGCACTATTAACTTTAGCAAAATACTCCTCTGAAAACACTTAGGTTATTGTGATCAAACTTGTCCGGCATTATCTATAGGGCCCCTATTTACAGAATTGAAGATAGAGGAAAAATCAACAAAACAATCAATTGAAAATATTTGAAAATTCTGAAAGTGACCAATTGCTTTAACCACTTGAGAAAATGACACAACGGTGATTCTATTTAGACTTGTAGTATGGTTGATTATCATATCTGTCTTCAACTATTGCCATGGAAATTTGAATAGTTGACAAAAAAATGGAAAGAAATCCTACTTCAAATCTGTTGAAGGACCATAGGTTACCACACTTTGGTACATGAAATAATTTAACATTTATGGTAGTTTATCTCCTTAGAAAATTTAATATATATGAGATTTTAAACATTGCAGCCACAATTACAAAAAAGTTAAAAACAGAAAAAAATTAAAGAAAGAAGTACTGAAACATCATAGAAAGACTTTAATTTGAAAAATATAATATGTTTTCCATCTGCATAAATGATAATTAAACGATTTGATGTGAAGAAATGATATATCAGTGATCCTCTTTACGGATTTTTTGGACGACCCTTTTCATGTTCACACGCCTGTCAAAAATGCTCAAAATAGGAAATTTAACAAACAATTGCAAAATTTTATGTTTTATGACACACTCGTAAAGCCATTTTATGTTTGTACCTAACTATTTTACGCAGATATTTGTTTTAAGTAGATAGTAGTTGTTTTGACATTGAATAGAGACTCTTAAAAGGCTGTATTACTCGTCCGGATCTATACACAATGTCAGCTCTTAATTGGCAAGCGCTATGCTTGATTTTTAGAAGTGTTCAATTGTAGTTCAAAATTATGATATTTAGATAATTTGTATCTAGAAGTAAATATCACTCGATAAAGATCTCGATCATAAATTAAACTGGAAATCTGAAAAGTAATACCACTAATAAACTAATCATAGATACCAGGATTAAAATTTTGTATGCCAGACGCGCGTTTCGTCTACAGAAAACTCATCAGTGACGCTCAAATAAAAATATTTAAAAAGGCCAAAATAAAGTATGAAGTTGAAGATGCCTCAAGTATTAAATCTATCAGAAATGGTTTCAGTCTGGCCAATCTTGTAACATTAGTACAAGTGTGTACAGATACTCAGAATTTGATAATTTTGTTGTGTTCATCTAATTGTAGGTGACGACCGAACCATTGTCAAGTATGTTTGGCAGTGCCATTACCACGTGCTTTCTAGGGGAAGCAATTTTCAAAGATAAATTTGAGAAGATGGATCACATGGTCAACAACTTTGAAGAGATGATAGAAATACAAAAAGGAGAAATTACTAATTTGAAGCAGACAATTGACTTACAAAGCCAGGACATACATTATATAAAAACCAACATGAAACAACAACAACAACAAATTCTAGATCAAAATACAAAAATGCAAGAATTAGATAACGTTTAGAGAAAAATTATGGCGATGTAATATACAGTGACAATTGTTTGAAACAAGATACAGAAAGTTGCCATTAGCCTCAAAAGTGAAGAGATTCTTTGAAGATTTAATGATACATAATGGAGATAAGAAAACCCATATTGTGTTATTTTCGAATGTTGCTTCTGTTAGTCCTATTGAATCATGTAATACTAAATCTTTTGCGGTTAAAGAATTTTTTAGTTAAATACACAGTTCCAAAATCCTGGAAAGCCAAAACAGAAAAAAAAGCACAAAAGAAAAGACAAAAAACCCAACAACATCAAGACCTATAAAGACAGAAATTATGAATGATCAATGGAATAGAAATTATATCGCATTCAAGTATATATTCATGATGCAAAATCAGTACGCACACTTGCCTTCACCAAAACATAGTGAATAGCCTTTTTCACCGTTCCGACATGAACTAAAATCTCTCACCTCAATACAACCAAAACTCAGCCCCTAACACAGAATTAAATGCACTATAATTTAAACAGAAACCAAGAACATAGTATATAAACTCATCATAGATACCAGGATTTAAATTTTGTATTTGCACCAGACGCGCGTTTCGTCTACAAAAGACTCATCAGTGACGCTCAAATAGAAAAAAAGTTAAAAAGGCCAAATAAAATACGAAGTTGAAGAGCATTGAGGATCAAAAGTTCCTAAAAGTTTTGCCAAATACAGCTACGGTAATCTATTCCTGAAGTAGAAAAGCCTTAGTATTTCAAAAATTCAAAGTTTTGTAAACAGTTAATTTATAATTATGATCATATCAATGATAATTCATGTTAACACAAAAGTGCTGACGACTGGGCTGGTGTATGATAATCTATAGATATCAATTTGATTGACTCGTACTCTAATTACATAATTATAAGGCTTTATTTTTGAGAAAATCCCATGCCGCCTAAATTGTTTTATGCTTATTGCACGTACAGACAAGCATAATAGCAGCAGGAAAGCTCTGATGCTTGCGACTATGCTATTGTTGCTTTACTAAAGCTATTAATTTATCAATTTTACTGCACCAGATGCGTGTTTCAAATTTAATGTCTCTTCAATGATAATCGAGGGCCTCAATATTTGTAACCGTAGTATGTCGTATTTCTGAAGAGAGATTAAAATCAATAGCGCCTGGAGATGACTTAAAAAAACTGCAAATATTACATTTTTTAGTGTATGAGCAGGACATTCTAAACCAAAAAGTTTTGTTGTTTGGAATTAAGCTATATCCATTCATTTGTTTTGGTTAGAGATGTCCATTATTATAAAAGTTTTAATTTTACATCCAGAACATATAGCGCTAAATAACATTATAATAATATGGAAATATGCAAAACGGATTGAAAATTGTTTAAGCAATCGAATTCTATTTGAACGTTTTTTTTTTTATAGTTTTTAAAAAACTTTTTCTTGTGAGTGAAGCACAGGTGGAATTTGCCCTGTCTGTTTAAAAAAAAAGAACGAATAAACCCAAGCCTGACTACTGCAAAGTCACTGAAAACATACTTCCGGAATATTAGAATATTTATTAGTTGAAATTTTATTTTGAACTAGATTCCCGTAACTGCGAATACTCTTTGATCGATGCTTTGTAACATTTTCCTGTTGTTTGTTTGTTTTTTTTAAATGTTGATCGAATGAGACAAGAAGTTTTCACCAATTTTTTTCATTTTTTTCTTACGTTGTGCTGTTATACACCACTGTTCCTGGGGAAAAATGAACAAACATGTTAAATCTATTCACATTATGTTTCTGTGCCATTTTAGGAGCCAGTGATCCAGTGGTTGTGATTGGTTGCTGTCCGCCAATTTAATATAATTCTGCATCACTGCATGTTTATCTAGCATTTTAAAATTGATCGGTTGCAACTGAGAGAAAAAATAACGAGAAAAAAACACCACTAAAGTACGTATAGTAGTGGATATCAGTTCATGCAAAAGTCGTTCGAAAGCGTAGAAAATTCAATTAAGCATCACACCAAAAAAATAATAATTATAATATTTTCTCTCTTATAGTTTTTAATATACAAACTTAGTGCGGTATATTAGAGGCAACAGTAGTTAAGCAACGTTCAAATGATTTGTCAGTCTGCAGATTTTAGGTGCATGCATATATATTTTTAGCCCATCTGATCTACTTAAATTATTGGCAATACTGGCTATCTAATGACCATCGCCAATAGAAAAAAATTTAAAAACAGAAACGAACTATGCATATATTGTAAAAGAGAATCGAAATCAAAGAGGTCTAACAAATAATACAAACTAAAATTCAAAAGAAGCTTTTTTAAAAACATGGCTCATTACCTTTTAAAAACATTTCGTTCTTTTATTAAATTTATCCGGTTTTTTTGTGTAATGCTCACGCGTCACATATATTACAAAAGTTAAGTTTCCGAATCTGCGATCTTCAGGGAAGTTGCCCTTGATCCTTGCACTTTATGATAGGATGTTGTTAAACAGAACAATAACATGTGATTAGCGCAAAACGACAAATTTCAGAGAACTGTGAACTGAATTTATATCTTCTTCAATTCAAACTCTGTAGTTATGGCGAGCAAACATTCTTTTAAAGGATACTAAAGGTAAATGTATAAACATCTGTATTTCGGGTCGTTTAGGGTCATCAGCTTTATTGTATTGCTTACGTAACATAGTAAATATGAGAATTCAGGAAGTAGTCCGATCAGTGTTGATATTTTGTATAAGTCGTTTTGTTCAACAAACATTAATAAACAAAGGTAAGTCATCTGAGTTAAATGATACAACTGGCATACACTAAGGTACTAAAACGAGATCGGAAATACTCATCTTCATACCGGTATTTTTATGGATTATATTTTGTAATGTATAGTACTCTTTATAACAATATATTCCCTGTTTACACGATTTAGTTGGATATTGAATCACTCCACCAAGCAAAGTTCACCTAAGATGAATTTGACTATACTGTTTAGGTCACATTTAGTCATTTATCTCCTTACCCATTAAGTATTTATATATTATTGGCTTTATAATATTTGGGTTTGAGCTATTCAGAGGAAGGTAAACACAGAAAATTGCATCGGAAGCACACAACTGATAAAGGGTTAATTTCGTTTGATAGCACTTGGTCGATACCGCTGCTGGGGGGAAGTTAGTCACTAAGGTATCACCAGCACAGCAGTCAGTGCTTCGGTACTGACATGATTGATAACAAACTTTTCTTTATATTTCCAATGGGCCTTGGTGGCCCAGTGGTCTAAGTAGTAGCACCGCTGTATCACGCCTGTCAACACTGAGGTTCTTAGTTCGAATCTCGCACATGGCAGGTGCGCTCGATTCCAATCTTAATTGACTAGGATTGTCAGTTTTCCTACCGAAGGTCTGTGGTTTTCTCCGGGCACTATGGCTTCCTCCACCAATAAAAACTGACTGACACGAAATAGCACAATAGTATTGAAAGGGGCGTTAAACACCAATCAATCAATCAATCAATCAATCAATCTTAAATTTACCGTTAATAAATTGATAAATTATTAGAAACTAAGGCTACAAATCCCGCTATAAATGCTTTTTAGATCCCTTTTAGTCATTTAGCTCCTCACTTTTGTAGGTATTATACATCTTCGGAATTCAAATGATTGGATTTAAGCGTTCCTGGTGAAGGTTAATGATGAAAAGAGCTTCGGGCGGACGAAATAAACAAATGTTAGTTTTATTTAAAGTACAGTAGTGGTTGATTCTTGTAATTATGACTTCAAAGACATTCTATACAATCAACATTTCCTACTCACCAAGTAATTGTCACCAAACTATTTTGGCGGATTTTGTGTTGCTCCCGTTTGGTTTGACATACGTCGGGGTAAAACTTCATACTTGGAAATTAACATTTGTGGATCGGTCTTGTACAAAGCAGGGTTCTTCGTTGTTGTTTTTGTCTTTAGTTTTAGACCTTTGTTTTCCAAAGGACCATGTGTTGGGGACTCGTGTGCCCTGTTGAATTGTTCAGATTTTTTGGTGATTCCTGTTATTCTTTTATATTTTATTTATACTCAGATCACATTAACTTGTACTTGTCCTGATAGGGTACACTGTTTGTCAGTTGACGTTAGATACCAATCAATGTATGATCCATCGTTTTAAGCAATCACTGTTAATCCTGTCATAATTCTAAATACAACCTCTAATTAATTAATGTTAATAAATCTCATTTCAAACTGAGGAAATCTATGGGGTTTCACACATTGTGTATGCAGACTTAGAAGTTACAGCAGGATAAGATGTTATTCGCTGTTCCGTAATAAATACATTTGCTTGTTATTTCAGAATGGGAGAACGTCCTCCATTATTTGTGTAAGTATGAAAATTGTAATGTTGAATATTGATATATACAAATAGTTCTGTTTGGAATGCTATGGAAAAATGAAGTGCCTTTTAAATGGACATGTAGTGATTAAAAAATATTAAAGGTATTTTATTATATCTAAAAGATATACAATGCAGACCGACATTTCAAAGCAAACGCAGAAAGAAGACTACATACGTGAATATCGATTAACAAACGGCATGCACAGTACTTATACAAAAAGTAATATAGATGTGAGATATCATATATTATCGAAACGTTTAGACGACTTTATTTAAAAAAAATAGTTAAAAATTAATAAGAAGTAGAGGATTCGGAAAGAATAACTAACAAGCTACGTCAGTCGTGACATGATTATCGTATCTGAATCCTTACTTCTTTTTCCTTACAATTTTCTTAATTAATCCACTTCGTTTAAGCTTTGACCATAAATCAAGGGAATTATATAACGATAAAAAAGCGAGGCGAAAAACACCAAAAAGATAATCAAACTCATACGTCGAAAATAAAAGGTCCATTCCATGACAAAACAGTGCATAGAAAACTGAATACTGAGCAACAACAGGGTGATCTTATGGGCTCTGGAAGGGTGTGCAGATCCTGCTCCACATGTGACACCTGTCGTATTGCTCATGTAAGTACAAATCCGTTGATAAGTCTTATTCGGTAGGTCACATTCGAAGAAAAGAGGACGGGATTGTCGTAACCACAATTGGAACATATTCGTTGTCATTTGTGAAACAAATATTCCACATCGGTCAACCAACTCGTTATGACGTCCGTAAAATTTTCGAGAGATGATTTCAACTTCACCATTTGAAAATCTTGCATTAAAAGCTTCCTTGTAAGCATCAAATCTATCAAGGAAATCATTATAGAAAATGCAAGCTCTGGAATATCGTATCTACTAGGAGATATATACTACATACGCAGGCGCTGGTGGAATGTTGCTACATATAAATGGAAAGTTCTCAATTTGGAAGCTAAAATCATCTCTTTTGTCGTAAAGTTTTCTTCTCAATCGACCCTCATTATCAATTTCTAGATAAAAGTCAAAATATGAGGCAGACTTAAATGTATATGTGGTATCATTTATTTCAAGTTAGATGGGAAAATGGGTTCAACATAGTCACTAAATGTTTAATTATCTCGTGAAATGACGAATTGTATATATATGGTTCACATATATATTTAGGTATCGAACACGTCATAGAAAGTTCGAAACTTACATTCGGAGATATACCTTAATCTAATCACAGAGAGTTAATGTATTTTCGTTGCTCTTTTTGATTGTCAAGGAAGTTATCAATAATTCTATGTCAGCAAACGTGGCCGAGTTGTTTCTTGTACGAACCTAACATGATGATTTTCGAAGAAAACACGTGCATGTTCGATCCCTATATATGACAATCGCTTTAGAGAGATAAACAATTAGTAAGTTGAATGTAAGAATGGATGATTGATTAATTGTTGCTGGCTTCAAAGGTTATAATGTGAATGAACTTCAGTTGAAAGTAGATTCTTGAGAAATGAACCCACAGTAAAAACAAAACAACTCACGTCAGAGAAATAAGTTCCTACCGTATATTATATCGAAGGCAAACATGTGCAATGTAAACAACATTTGTTAGCTGCATTCATTTACGCTTTATGAGTTTTATGCACAAAATAATATATCAGAATGATGTTCCACAGGACACAACAAAGAAACTTTTCGAACGTTGAATTGATGAATCGTGTGGAATCAAAACCAAACTATGGGCATAAACAGAACAGCCAAAAACTTTCCGCGATACAAAATTCCCTGAGGGATCTGTAATTTTCGTTTAAGTGCTTTTATATACTTTAGCAGTCGGAAATTTCTATCACAATGTATCAGTTTTATAATGGCAGTACCATATCACTGGTTTCTACACACTCTCTATGATCATCAGTCATTTGCACTGTTGTTCCCCCAGAGTTTTAACAAAATAACATCATGACAAAAATTTAAGTGGACACGTTGCTCATTAGGAAAGGCCGTTTGAATCGGTATACGGTATGTATATTTGTTCGAAAGTGTTTTTGATGCTTAAAATCACAAAGACATAATGAAATTTATTATTTGTTAGTAAAAGAAGTTGTTAATGCAATTTGTGGTGAGAGGTGCACGAAAATAAAATAGATATGCAATTGTAAGATAGTATAATCCGACAATCTTTTTCAGGCTAATTCCTATGGTGCTCGTGGTAAAATTGATATTCTGGATAGCTATTTATTATAGATGTTCAGATAGATCCAGAAATTCACGAACCACAATTATTCAACAAACAGTGGTAAGTGTATCGTGAAACATTCAAAATAGCATTTCTTATTCATGACAAAATGTGCAAAAATATTAAAGAAAAACCCAAACTACAACTCGAAAGTTGTTTGTACAGTAGAAGAAAAATTTAAATGAAAATAATGACAAAACAAATTTATCTTTCAACATTTGCGAGTTTGGAAAAAATTGTAATAAGTTTTTTTATCAATGCGTTTATTAAATGTGTTTAAATCAAGCTCTTATAACTTTTAATTGGATAAGTAGTCTCCTTTGATACATGTTTATATATATATATATATATTTGTTAAAATATACTTTTTCACTTTTTTTGGTCTTTTGGAAAATGTTGTTTGTGCTGTATTTAGACCCCTCTAACAAGAAATTTGTTTTGCATGCACACGTATAAAAATTGCGGTTTTATCCAACGCAATCATAGGTTTGAACGTTGTTTTCAATTTAGACTTGTTTATATTTTTTCGTTTGGGCTTGTATTATATTTACCTTCGGGTTTATATGATCCGTTCATCCTATTTTGACTCCTCAAAATTCAAGAGTCTATCCTAAATTGAGGTAAATTATGTGGCCTTTCAATAACCGTTTCGATTCCTAACATCACTGAAGAGACATTAATTGTCGAAATCCGGATATGGTGTACAAAAAATCTTTGCACCTTGTTTGCGGTATACCATCTTCGCCGCAAGTTTATTGTTTTCTTTTTGGTATTAAATTTATAGTTACGATCCATTTATTACACCTTGTGATCCGTTTATTTGGCAATCGCCAATGGCAGTCAGCAGGATTTAAGAACATTTGTTGTTCGACCTGTTAGTCAAATGCGTTTTGTTAAAATATACTTTTTCACTTTTTTTGGTCTTTTAGAAAATGTTGTTTGTGCTGTATTTAGACCCCTCTAACAAGAAATTTGTTTTGCATGCACACGTATAAAAATTGCGGTTTTTATCCAACGCAATCATAGGTTTGAACGTTGTTTTCAATTTAGACTTGTATATATATATATATATATATATATATATATATATATATATATATATATATATAAAGAGAATTCCTTTATAATATACTACTAAACAAATTTGAAATTTAGACGATTCAGAAATGACATATACAATTGAGAATGGAAACGGGGAATGTGTCAAAGAGACAACAACCCGAATAAAGAGCAGAAAACAGTCAAATGCCACCAATGGGTCATACACACAGCGAGAAAATCCTGCACCCGGAGGCGGTCTTCAGCTGGCCCCTAAACAAAAATGAGTACTAGTTCAGCGAAAATGGACGTCAAACTAAACTCCGAAGCATATAAATGAACCAAAATTAAAAAAAAACACCATACAAGACTAACAAAGGACAGAAGCTCCTGACTTGGGACAGGCGCAAGAATGCGACAGGGTAAATAGATATAGGAAGATGTGGTATGAGTGCTAATGAGACAACTCTCCATCCAAGTAACAATTTATAAAAGTAAACCATTATAGGTCAAGGTACGGCCTTCAACACGGAGCATTGGCTCACACCGAACAGCAAGCTATAAAGGGCCCCAAAAATTACTAGTGTAAAACCATTCAAACGGGAAAACCAACGGTATAATCTTTATAAAAACGAGAAACGAGAAACATGTATGAACTACATAAACAGACGACAACTACTGTACATCAGATTCCTGACTTAGGACAGGTGCAAACATTTGCAGCGGGATTAGACGTTTTAATGGTACCAAACCTTCTCCCTTTTTTGAAACAATAGTTTAACATCACAACATAGAAAGACACACTATAAAATATCAATTGGAAGGCTGTTTTGTGAGATCTCAACCCTCCCCCATACCTCTAACCAATGTAAAGTAAACAAAAACACAGCAATAGGCACAGTAAAACTCAGTTTAAAAGAAGTCCCAGTCCGAAGTTAGAATAGGTAAGAGAAGAAACTAAGCAAAATGACAATGATACATAAATTAACAAAGGATACAATACAATATTAAGTAACAAAAGCATACGAAATATGTGTGTAAATAGAGATCTATTACCATAAAAGTGTTTTTTATTAACACAGTAATGCATCTTTAATTTATTTATGGTCTATCGATTTCTCATGCATGTATTAGTATATATCCTGGATGTTTACAGCATTTTGTAACTTTATTATTAATTGAAAATACATTACAATGCTAATGTTTTATTGTAAACATTTGAATTGTCGATAAATCTTGATTTTGCTTAAATTTCTATAAGTTAACACTACCGTATAAATGAATATAAACAGCATTCACTTAAAAAGGGATAAGAAGGTCATGCTGACACACATTTAAGTTCTCTTTTCAATCAGATTTACACAAACGTATTATTTTTTGTTTCAGATTCAAGGGCAAGTCGATAATGGTATAACTGGTATACAAAACCCTGGATATATGCAGCAGCCTCCAATTGATACCGAAATACTCAGTCAAAACGCAACACAAGCTTCGGTACCACCAGCCTACGACCAAAACACAAAATCACCGTGCTTTGCAGAAAATTATAGTTCACAGCGTTATTAGTGTACCTATTTTGTAAATCTAATATAGGGAATCAGGAGCATATAAATTGACGATTAACTTTGAATAAATCTATAGTTCTTGTGTGTTGCTTCTCAGTTTCCATGTACATATGTTACATACATAATTGAAATAAACAAAATGCAAGAAAGAAGATTCAATAAATGAACAAGAAACAATTTTAAGCTGTAATAATTGAGTCACGCTTTTACATCCCATATGAATATCAAACATCACTGAAATTTCGACGATGTATCAGTATTTTCAGATATGCCTTATTCAAACATGTTCTCTACCTGACTGTGTACAATCACGAACTTTCACATATCTCATGTAGGGCAACTACAAGTGTCACAGATTTGAGTTATTACCATACAAGGTTTGTAAGTCAACCAACTGATGTGATATATTCATGATAATACATTTTACGTATTACAAAAATGGCAATTAAACATTTTGATAAGAAATATTGTGCACACTATATTAATGTATATTTTTTTTTCGTTTACTATCAGGAGTGAATGTATTACGGTTGGGTTATTAATGCCAAGAACTACTGTCTAACTTCTAATATTATATAAACTTCCCTGAAGGGTTGTTCATTCATATCCTATTTGGAAGTAAATATAATCATGTAAAATATTGTATGTGAAGATGAATATTTAAATTGTAAACGGATCAGAACAATATTTAAAATATAACTTACCTATTCTTTTCAGGAAATATTCAAAATACGAAATTCATTATATATTCCATGATGCGTTTACGTTCCGAATTAAACTCCTTCTTATTTCTATGTTTAAGATATTTGTAATTGTGGTATGTCTTTGTTTGAATATATTTAACTTTGATACATCGATACTTACAGAACGCAAGGTTGTAGAACTTGTTTTTAATTTTTAACACACTTTGTCTTCACTGTCTTTATTTAAGACAATGTTGTTTTTGTTGTTGTAATAGTTATTATTGTGTTTCAATTAAACAATGTACACATTTTGAAAAAAATAATGTTCAATAATAATTTTTAAAAATCAATCAATTACTGCAATGCTTCGATTATGTTTAAAAAATTGGCTGTATATTGCAATATTATTTTTTTCGAAATAGATTTTTGTCCAGGGTTGACATTTCTTTAGACAATATCTTTTCAAGTTTAATCATGTTACAGTAATTGACGTTTCGTTACGTTTTATATTATTTCAAAACTGGTAATTATTATCCATTTTAATATTTTTAATTGAAGATACAATTTCCCTTTTTTGTCGCAAAGTAGTTTATCAGACGGAATATGACAAAGATTATCATACGAATAAAGGAGGTGTTGCAACAGTTACAACAGCAACATAATGAAATCAGAAAGGCATTTTTAAATCCATAAACAGTTTTGAAAATAGACAAGTACCTTTAACATAATAGTAAGTCAAGCTCTAAATCGCTAAAAGGCTATGCACAATTGGTAAATAAATTAAAAAGAGACAACCACAGATCTTCCCTTAAGTAACCTTGCATTTAAAAAAAAAAAAACACTGAAAAATAAACAGATATTTTGTTGTAACATGGGACAGACATGATAAAGAGAAGTAACATATACTGAAAATGTCACGAATAGGAACTTCACTCTACAATTTCGACATAACAGACGACAAACTCACAGCTGCAAGTACAGCGATATGACGGGAGTAGACCTGAATTAAAGGAAAGCACATTAATGAATGAGTTTGTAAAAGAGGGTTTCATCAATGCTTTAGAAACCTTCATGTGAATTAGAATTAAATTTCTTTCATGACGATTGATGCATGCACCGTAGAAGACATTCACACTGTTTCGGTCGGTTTGGAGTTCATGAAATTTCCGCAGGCTTTTTATTTTTATCTTGATTTGTATAATTTAATGACTAGAACAACGGTAAACAACTATTGCCTTTAATTTAGGAGCTTATTTTATATACTTATAAAAATGATGAACACAAACATACCAGTGATGTTTTAAAGTTTTATCCTTTGACCTAGATGTACCTTCTTATTTTTAATGCTACGGGAAAGAATGCTCGAAATACTGATAGCAAGCTCATAATACTCTATATTAATCTTTGCAATCATTTATTACGTTCTATCATTATTTAACAGATTGATACATGAGGTTAAAAGGTATGAAACTGCATGTTGAAAGCTAAATGATTATTTTAATGTTTATAAACTCATTTACATAACACTATCTATAACTCAAAGGTTGATTAATCAAATTTGAAAGTTAACAGTTTTCATACTTTATAGTAGCTTAACCATAATGCAATACAAAATGTCTGCTACTTCTTGATCGATTGTTTTTGTTTTATATATTTATAAGAGGGTTATCCAAAAACAAAATAATAATAGTTGAGATCAGTTGTTCTATTTAACGTCGAAAGTTTAGTATTAAATACAAAGTTCAATTATACGCTAAATAATTGCAGTCTTGAAACTATTTTAATGTATGAAAATCCGACTTTCATATGGCATTCTTGGCTAAGTGTTTGTTATAACCACAAAGAGGTAAATACAACATAATATCCGTTATCAGATGACCGTAGTCATTTGCTCATAGAGATGACTGAAAACTGCAATTTTGAAAGATGTAAAAAAACAAAAAAATGACAATAAAAGGTATGAGCAGGACATTCTTAACCAAACCCAAATTTTTGTTGAAAGTATAGCTTCATATATATAAATTAGTTTTTGTGGAAGTCGTCCATCGATGAAAATTTTTTACAAAAAATTTATAATTTTTAATTTTGCATCAATAATATAAAGCGCTTTTATTATATGGAAATATGCAAAATGGATGGACGATTGTTGATATATGATATGACTGTAAAATAATCGAATTCCAGAAGGATTTGATTTAAAACTTTTCCTTGTGGATGAAACGCAATCAGAGGGAATTGATCCTAACCGTTTCAAAAAGTCACAAATAATTCGAAAACATCGTATGGTTATTAGTGGAAATATAACTTGAAACTAGTTTCCAGAGACTACGAGTACTCTTTGATGTTTTTTGTTTTGTTTCGTTTGTGCTGATCAAAATAGTCATGAGTTTTTCACCTGCTTTTGCAGTTTTCGTATGTTGTGCTGTTAAACCACTGTTCTTGAAATAGGTTGGAAGAATAACAAACATATTGAACCCATCAACATTATGTATCTGTGTCAAGTATTGAGCCTGTAATCTAGTGGTTGTGGTTGGTTGCTGTCCGCTATGATAGTATGATACAGCATTAACTACATGTTTATTTAACAATTAAAGTTGATCTATTGTAATTTGAAAAATGGAAAACACCAGCTAAAGAACGTAAAGTAGTGGATATATTTTCATGCAAAAACCATTTGAAAGCGTAGAATGTTTAAATTTCGTCACATAAACAATAGTAATTATAAAAAATTCTCAAAAATATTTTTCAATTTACGAAACACAAAGTTTCTGTGATACAATCTTATGGCGGCAAATGACAGACAACAATAGTTTACCGATGTTCAAATCATTTGTCAGTCAGCAGATTTTAAGTTTAGTCTACTTGATCTATCAAAATTATCGGAAATAATGTCCAAGTACTTTCACCAGTAAAAAAAATCGAAAAACAGAAACGAACCATACATTGATTGCATAAGAGTTATAGAACCAAAGAGGTCAAAGACAAAGATACAAACAAACTTCAAAGGTGGCTTTCTTGTAATGCAAGGGTCCTATATGTTTTAGAAAAAACCATTTCGTTTCGATTTACTCCCTATCAGTTTTTTTTGTTTGATACTTAGGGTCCAGCCGATTACAGACGTTAGGTTTTCCGAATTGTGATCTTTCAAAGGATTTGCCCTGGAATCCTACACCCAGAAGTGGATGCATCTCGCAACACCGCCCCTTATGCCAAATATGATAGCCGTGTGCTACGGTCTTTGATATACGATCGAACTAACAGTGCTTTAGCAGAATTACTGATCAAATGGTATATGATTCTATTTTCAATGTACAACTTATATTATCATGATTGTTAGAACTACACTCGTCAGGTGCTTTATAATCGGATATAGTCAATTAGAATAATAACATCCGATTAAAACAAAACGCAAATTTAGGAGCACTGTTAAATGAATTTATCCTTTTGTTCAATTCAAATTTTGAAGTAATTACAAGAAACTATTCTTTTAAAAGATGATCAAGGTTTTTCGCTTCGTTTCGGGTCGTCAACTTCATTGTATTGCCTACGTAAAATATAACATATAAAGTTACAGGAAGTAGCCGAATTTGTGTTGATAAACATTTTATTTTATATAAGCCGCTGTTTTACAAAAAACATTGATAAATAAAGGTAAGTCATCTGTAAAAGATGAAATCGTATTAATTTTAAAATGTTTAAAAACGAGATTGGAAAGACACATTTTCATATTATTATGGTTTTCTAAATATAAGACAATTAATTTATATCATTCCTATATTCAAGTTTTTAGTCATGGTGGCCATGATGGTTAAATTTTAAGAACAGAAACACAAACAAAAAAATATAATAATATCGAGCTCCAAATAGATTAAAGATATCCTGAAATACTGAAGGACTTCCTGAAAAAAAGCAATTTTGACCGATCATTTGTAAAGTTCATGAAATATAACTGGATATCATGAATTCGAATTATGAAGGCATTGAAATACTTTAGAATAAAGAGAAAGAGATATGGTATGATTGCCTATGAGACAACCATCCACCAAAGTTAAGTGGATGTATTAAGCAATTAAAGGCGACCGTCCATAACTACAATAATTTTGCCTTAATCTGCTCCTCATACGATCGGGATGATAAATGTTTATGTACATCATCGAGTAGTGTTATACAACTGTGGAAATGTTCTTCAAATATCTGTCTAGTCCGCTTAAATTGGTAGATTTGCCGAGGGAGACAGAGTGATTCTTACATTTGCACTTCAAAACTTTGTACAGCTATTTCTATCCATTTTGTGGACGACCATTTGCTATTTGGGTGGAGAAGGTGGGGAAGGACTTTTTTTTGCGGATTTCAATCTTTCATAACGTTATGCACGCTTATATTTGTTGCGCGAAAATTTATTTTCACTTTTGTACACACCTGTTTCCTGCACTTTGTGTTTATTTAAAATATATTCATTTAAATCCTTTCTTATGCAAGGTTATTCATTTTCGGCTCCTACCAGGCCAATATGTTAATTTTCAAAATCTTCCTGTTCAAGCTCTTGGAAAATCAAATGATTGTCTCCTTAATTATACAAAAATAAAATTACTTTCGAACTTCAAAGCTAGAAGATTAGTGAAGAAATAAAATTGCATATGGGTTTCATTTACATCTATTAATTCATAGTTGATTAAATATTGGATATGCCTTTCTGTGTTCTAACAATTAGTCAATAATAAAACATTCTAGAAAAAAGTAAACGCGTTTCCGTTTAAGAGTGATACGTTGCAGTTGTCTCCCTTTCAATGAAATACAATTTTTTGATGTATTCTCCCTTTACAAATAAGAATTTATGTCAATATTTGTGCATTCTTCAAAAATTATCACAATACTATATACCAAAAAATGTTTGTTAGTTTACTATAAATCTTATAAAAAAAATACCTGACAAATTTTGCTTTGTTGAAAAAATATTACAGAATATGTTTGTTCCCTGGTTGAGGGTAATTAGATAAAGGCAAATTTCCGAGTTAAGGGTAATTTCTGGATAAGTGTATGACATACCACTGTTGGTGGAACGTTAATCCCCGAGGGTATCATCAGCTCTTTAGTCAATGTTTCGATACTGACATGATTTATAACAAAATTTTTATGTATTCTCCGTTAACGAATTAATAAATTATTTAGAAATCAAGGTTCCAGTTCCCTCAGGCTAAGATGACCTGAGATAAATTTGAACTTTTTTTCAGATCCCTTCAATCATTAAGTTCTTGACGTCTGTATGTGTTTATACATCCTTGACTTCAAATGTTTGGATCTAAGCGTTCACAATGAAAGTTAATCCAGAAAAGCGTATTGAACGCACGAAGAAGATACGTAGTTGATGGTTCTTGAACAGGACTTGTATTTATGACTTCATAAAAATATCTATACTATCAACCTTTCCTTCCATCTCGAGTAAATGACATCAGACTATTTAAATCTGGCTTTGCGAGTCGGTCTTATACAAATCAAAGTTCTCCCTTATATTTTTATATTTCTTAACATCAAGCGTTGGTGGTAAATGTGTTTTGTTGTACTATTTAACAAGCAGCTTAAGTGATTCCTGTTATCTCCTTTTATGTTTTATTTATACCAATATCACATTAACCTGTACTTGTCCTGATAGGATACACTGTTTGTCACTTGATGTTAAACACCAATAAATAGCCTTTACCCAGTATTTTTTTATTTTGTTCTTGTGATTCCGTTTTTGAAGAAAAAATACTTGTTTGTTAGTTGTTGTACGGCAATCATATGAAAATATATCTTAAAAAAATGTGGACCAATACATAAACTGTTCTTAATTAGAGACTACTGAAATTTGCATCCGATTAATTTTGAGTCCTGGGCTTTCGGTCTTAAAACTTTACTTCAGTACTCGGAGTCTCGAAACACCATATCCTGTATTTTGATTGATTGAATTCTGAGTCTGAGTCTGCTCGAAATATTTATGACCACAACTTGCAACATTTAAATTTAAGATGCAAAGCTTGATTCGGTGATATGTATTATGACATTGTCATTGACTTTAAACATTACGTTTTCCATTTTATGATTCGACGTTGTCACAACTGTTTGTCCGTAGTCAAAGACATTACTCAATCAAATAGTGCTGAGAAAGCATGACAATCTGGAAGTTGTTTGTCACTGGTTACACACTATTTTAAACATATTATTATTCTCCTTTCGTCAACAAGCAATAACTGTAAATGCTACAATAAATCCATGCATCCATCGTTTTTGGGCAATCACTGTGAGTCCTGGTACAATTATACACGCTTCTCTGAGGACATTCTCTAATAGGTCAATTTTGATAAATCCCATTGAAACGGACGAAATATATGTCGTTTCATACATTTTGTATGAAGGCTTACACGTTACATTATTGGCTGTTATTCTCTGTTCTGTAATACATACATATTGCCTGTTATTTCAGGATGGGAGACAGTCCTCCATTATTTGTGTAAGTATGCATATGTTATGTTTAATATTCTTATAAACAAATAATTCTGTCTGAAATGTAATGGGAAATGTTGTGTCGTTTAAATGGACATATAGTTATTTAAAAATATTAAAGGTATCTCATAATATAAAAAAGATAAAAAAT